GTCCCCACACAAGGGAAAGAGAGAGTACTGGAGCACCGGAGGACACCATGCCCAAACCTCCAGCACTTATTACAGAGCCGAGGAGAGGGAATGTACTCCTGGACAGAGCACTTGGCACCAGCAAGAATGACAGAGGGTAGAAGGGTCCTACCATCAACGGTAATATTCACAACGCGAAGGGGCTGACGGCGACGACCACGAGGGGGGACAGGTAAACGTGTCTACCTGGAGGACAGAATGGCCCTGGGCTTCGAGGATATGCCGAATATCTTCGTGTCAGTCCTGTAGATTCCTAACACCGGTTGCAACATGGCGTGGGAGGAGAATAGTGCCAACACTGGCATTCAACCGAGCGTTCTTGAAGACCCGAACAGGGGTCTCGCCAAGGCAGGATAAGGCAGCCAAGTGGGTGGCTGCATCCTGAGAAGGAGCAGCAACGACACGTGTACCGAGACAGGTGGGGTTGAAAGTAACATGGGCATCTACTGAATCAAGGTGCCTATGGAGGGAGAAATCGTCAGGCGTAGAATCTAGAGGGAGGAGATCAAAGTATTTGGCCCACGAAGCGGGACCAAACAAAGCCTGGTACCCATCAGTACGGAAAGGGATCGAGCGAGTGCGGCCGTGGCGTGGACGGCATTGAGAACCCTCAGAGGGGTTAAAAGGCGCAGTAGTCACAATGAGAGACCGAACCATGCCAGGGGACGAGGTGGTCACCACTGGGGGCTTGTGGCTCGACCCAACCACAGAGGGAGGGAGGGGAACCGAAGGGAGTAATCAGGAGGGTCAAAGGGGGGAGCAAGATCGGGGCCCAATGCAGCAGGGGCTACAGAGCCCGGTCTTCCAACATGGTCCGACTCGGGGGCTTGGTCGCCCACCCTACGAGCTGGCCCTGTATGACTAACTATCCTGAGAGATGGGGACTTATTACCACTGCTATCTTATTCACTCTTGTGTTGATGATATCCTCAAAATGCATCCAGAGTCTGCTAGTGCAGACTGCCTATCACATGCCTCTGTATGACTAACCATCCTGTGTGATGGGGATTTTTTAGCATTATGTAGTTAGCTTGTTTGACACACTGTACTCCACATAGTTTAGGGTAGCTGCACAAATGCAGATGTACCTCATGTATTAATGTATTAATAATAAAAAGAGCTTGAGAAGATATAAGAGGAACAGAATGAGACATGAAACGAGAAGTCAGACATTCATTCACGAATGTGCCACCATGGAATGTGGCTAGAGGATAAGACACCCAACAAGAGACATGTTGCCGATCTTGCCGGGGCCCCCTAGGGGTGCGTCGTGAGTATATGCCCCACAAACGCCACCTTAAGAACCGTCAGTCCGTCGAGATCGGGTTCAGTGACGAAAGGAGGATTGACAATAAAAGGTTTCCCTCGCCCGAGGCGTTGGGTACTATAGTTCTACGTGTGCAAGAGTATGCCTCCTCAAACATCCGGGCATTAAAACAAAAGAAGGCTGAAAGAATAATTAAAACAGGCAAAAGGTCGGCGGGAAATGACAAATAGAAAGGAGAAGAGAGGGGGGAGGGGGGGGGGGGGAGAAGAGAAAAACGATACATAAGGAAAAGGAAAAGTCGTCCAGCAGAATTCGTGAGGACAGCAGCAGGAGCATAACGCCACAAAAGGACAGAGGACCGTCCCATGGAGCATCAAACTCTGGCAGCTGCCCACCAAGTCCCCTCACGGCAACAGCAGGCCGGACAGGGAGGGGGACTTTTTAGCAAATCCTTTGATATTGTACCAGTCATTAAAGTATCAGAGACCTATGGTGTTGGGTCTTGTGTTCTTTTTAGGGATTGGTATGTAGAAGAAAACTTAATTATCATGAGTTAAGTCTTAGTGAGATTAGACAACTTATTTCTAGAATATTTAACAATAAAAACCATAATGTTATTCTTCAACTATGTCTTGTTTTTTGTTATTCTCCATTTAGATTATGCAGTTCAATTTTGGTCGCCATACTATAGAGTAGAAATAGTTAATTTCACCACGTTCAGCGAACTATGACAAAGTTAATCCCGCAAATAAAAATCCTTCCATATGAAGGGAGAATGGAAAAGCTTAATTTACATTCTTTAGAAAGACGAATTGTTAGGAGTGTTAGGAGTGATAGGACTGGGGTGTACAAGTAGATGAATGGGCATAACAAAGGGGATATTACATCATTGTTGCAATCGCTTCTACTCAAAAGTTGAACACATTACAGAAAACAACAACTTTACGCTATGTTGTTTTAGATTCAGCTACTTAGAACAAAAGTTCCAAGTAGCACGGGCTACGGTGAGCCCGTAGTGGACTTACCTGGCACATGAACGGGGCTGTAACTGAAGCGTAAAGGGAGCTGCTATGTTAAAAAAGAGAGATTAAATTATAGCTATCACCTAAATTATAGCAAGACTTATGGAACAAAACATATTCCTTGATTTTATTACATTGTAAAAATACACGTAACAGAATTGCAATTTTGTTTATAATACTGCTAATCGCACATAGTGTTTCCGGTAAATTTTGCAACACTATAAACACGTGAGCATCGTTAATTTAAGTACATATTAATATATTATGGTATATAAAGTTAATGATTTACTGGGCGCAAATCCTTAACTGTAGCCTCTGTTTAACTCAACAGTAAAATGTGTACTTGGTTGTAAAAACGATTCTTCGCGGCGGGGTTTGTATTCCAGGGACCTGGCCGAAACGCTACGCGTACTAGTGGCTTTACAAGAATGCAACAACTCTTGTATATATATATCTCAAAAGAAAAAACAAACACTAAAAGTTGCAATTAAGTCTACCCTGCCAACAGAGGTGAGTTGTTACAGAAAATGGTTTTGTATGCCAAACTATACAAGTACCGATACATAAATTTCTGGATGATCTATGCGCTAGTGGCTTTGTTTCATTCTCACTGTCCGTCTCTTTTTCCCTCCCCCTCTCTCCCTCCCTCCCTCATGTTCTTTCTGCCTCCTTCTCTCCCTCCTTGCGGTTCAATCTGCCTCTCTCCAGTTCACTGCGTCTCTTCCTCCCTTCCGTTCAATCTGCGTCTCTTCCTCCCTTGCGTTCAATCTGCCTCTCCCTACCTCCCGTTCTCTCTCCCAGTAGGCATAAGATGATGAACATTCTGCCAACGTTCTCGACGTTGACAAGACATGACAGGGCTGATCTCATCGAAACGTTTAAAATTCTGAACAGTTTGTAGGATGTTGGTTCAGTCATTTTATTCAAAAGGTCAGACGTAACAAACATGGAGAAACTGAGTCAAGCTGAACAAGCTGCAAAACATGACTAAAAACAAGAGGGGCTTTTCACCCTCAGGGTTATAAACCCATAGAACCGCCTACCCGCCGAAGCCGTAAATGACCAAACACTGCTGCAATTAAAAATCCAGCTCGATAAATTCACGAGAACAAATGGGAGGACAAATGACAAGCAGTCTGCTTCCTGTCCTCATCGAGGCTACTAGGGAGATGATGGCCCCCAGGTAAATTCATGTGCGTTTCGGGCATGCATGCCGGTCGGTTTCGGGCATGCATGCCGGTTTCGGGCATGCATGCCGGTCGGCCGAGCGGACAGCACGCTGGACTTGTGATCCTGTGGTCCTGGGTTCGATCCCAGGCGCCGGCGAGAAACAATGGGCAGAGTTTCTTTCACCCTATGCCCTGTTACCTAGCAGTAAAATAGGTACCTGGGTGTTAGTCAACTGTTAGTCAACGAGGCCTCCACCTGGCCTCGACCAGGCCAGGTGGAGGCCTGGTCGAGGACCGGGCCGCGGGGACACTAAAAAGCCCCGAAATCATCTCAAGATAACCTCAAGATTCTCCAGAGCAAAGGTAGGTTTAAAATTTTTGTGCAGGCCTACATTGACAAGTTTATGTGGTTTCTCATTTTCAAGGATAAGAAGCCTGTTATATAGACTTATGAGTGGAAAACCCGGTTGCTGCCAAGTCTCTCTGCCCCTTCTTTCCATATCCCTCTCTCTTCCTATCTCTAACTTTCTCACCACACTCTACCCCAATATCACTCCTTTTGCCCATTTCCTCCCTTCACCAACCTGTTTCAATCTTTACCTGCTCTTTATGTATTCCCCTCTTTCCATCTCTTTCTTCAAACATTCTTCCCCCCTCTCGTTCTTTCTCTCTCTATCTCTGTCTACCTCTGACAATCTGTGTTGCGGAAAAACAAAGTTGTCTTTACATTTTTTTGGCCGTCTTCCTCTCTCTCTCTCTCTCTGCCTACCGCTGTTTGTCTCGGCTTTTTTATTACTGCCTTCCTTCCTCTTGCTCTTCCTGGTCGACCTAGTGTGTCTGCAGGCACAGAGCTGTCTGCTTCTGCTTGTCTGTCTTTTTCCTGCATGTTTCTTTTATAAAATATAAGTTTCCATTGGCAAATAGTTGGTCTGCCGGCGGGAGAAGCCTAGCAGTGCGAGATATTTACAAAAACATAATTGTTTCCCGTTGGCTTTGAGAAAATGGCAGGGCTTGAGACCATTTTTTGAAGACGAGGGAGCATCATCTTTCATGCCACTATCGACAAAGTTAATATTATAACTTTTGTTAATTTTTCCCGAGATAAGTGCACAATTTTTTCATATCACCTTAAGAAAGAAATGGTTTTGGAATTCTTATTTTTTAAGAAATACGCCCGACAGCTGGTTGGTACTGCCAAAATCAGTCGTGAAGGTAAGTATGTGACCCTGGTACACTGTTCCCTCTTGAATTCTCTCCATCCCCGACCAGCCCATGTCCGTCCCGTACCCCAGACCATTCACCCTGTAAATGTGGATGAGGATAGCTCCAAGCATCTGGCCTCTAACCTTGGACAAATAGACATTCTCTTATAGACTTAGATTGTGGGTTCTCGAGCGACTATTAATCAAGGATATGACCCGCAAAAGTTATCCAACTCACGAGTATTTATCTACTTCCAGGTGAACAGAAACATGTGTAAGAAGATACCAAGTCAAGACTGACCTGTCGCAAATTTGATGAGGACGACGGCAGAATCTGCAAGTGGGAGTCACCGTGGGAGAATATTTGGGCCGCGCGGGAACCAGTTTCGCGTCCCTGTCCAGAGTAGAGTCGTCCGTCCACGAGTTGGAGTCCTCTGGTTTATCGTCCAACGGGCTGCTTTGTCAGCCAGTTCTGTAAACTAACACCCATGGCGTCCCCCGATATGGAAGTCATCCATCATTATAGTAGCACCCGTCTCAGGTCACACGCAAATGACTCAACTGTGTAGGAACGGTGCGCCGTCCCTGGTAAGGAGAAGTGAAACAAACTCCGACACCGAGCTCTCGCCACCAAGGTTGTCGTTTGAGTCAGGGGCCGGGTGTGCCCCGGCGCTCCTTTGGAGGGAAAACACAAAGCTTTGCTGCTATATACAGGCAGCCTGCTGGCGGAAACTAACGTGCTGTGCGCCAGCAAAACACACTGGTAGGGAGATATTTGGGGAGCCCCAGGAGACCCTCAGGAATGGGGAAGTTGCGAACATCGTCCCTTCCACTCTCGCCCCAAACAGCAAACTAGATACTTAAGCACGACGAGGTGTTGACAGACCCACGACCATGGGCCGAGTCACTTCCGTTCTCCACAGTAATAAGACACCGTGAATTAGAAGTTAGAGAGACTTGTAACTGTAGAGTTTACTCGTTGGAGTTGCCCGCTGCCAGCGCCCTCTCTCTGCCGGGTACCTACTTACTGCTAGATGAACAGCGGCATCAGGTGTAAGAAACTACATCCCCAAACCTCTTAGGAACTGAAAAATTACTATTATACAGGCAATTAGCTTATTTAACATCATTTGCAAGGTTGCCACAAGGAATTATTTTTGTTATTAAGGATGAAAGCTGCTATGTATTGCGTTCCCATTGTCGGGGACAGGAAGCCTGCGAGGCTTATCAATCTTCAAATCAGCAACTGACCTCTTCAAGATGCAACCCAAAACAGATGCCTAACTCCCAGGTATCTATTTACTGCTAGATGATCAGAGGCATTTTTTTCACAGACTAGTTATGACTCCTGTTAGCAGGCTGTGAGCTTACCCTTCCCATAGCTCATGGTCACCCTTATTGACTACGTTCTCCCGGAACACCACCCGAGAATCGGTTTACAACCAGGTCCTCAATTACTGCTGAGTGAACGGTGTTGCGTAATGACCATTGATGGTGTGAGGGTGAGGGGGGGGGGTGAGGATTGAGCAAGTTATGAGGGAGGGTGGGAGGGAGGGGTGAGGACAGGACAACCTATGATAGTAGGGGGTGAGGATGAAAATGTGAGGACAGGATAAGTCATGACGGAGCCAGTGTGAGAATAGGACAAGTTATGACGGGAAGAATGAGGGAGTGAGTGTGAGGACAGGGGAAGGGTGAGAGCAGACAGTATGACAGAGAGAGAGAGAGAGGGTGTCGTGTGAGGCAACAGCCAGCAGGCCAGGGGGAGGCTGGACGTGTTGACTAAACACACCGAGGGGTCCACATTGCCACCGTATAAGTGTTTACTTAAGAGTCAGGAGGCCGGAACATAAACACACAGGCCTAGTAATTGGACCCAAAGTATCACAACATTGATTGACACAAAAGTACAAATCACACATTTTGTATATACAAAAATAATCAATGTCTTAGATTCTGCGGTTCACCAATCACAGTGCGAATGTAGAATGGAAATGTCTACACACATTGTAGACATTTCTACACACATTGTCCATGTGTGTAGAGGTGGCCACAGTGCCCATGTGTGTAGAGAAGGCCACATAGCCCATACGTGTAGCCCACATATTTCAAAGTACGGTATGAAACGATTGTGCGCATTTCGTCATTCTTCTTTGAAATGTACATGCGAATTCTTTATCGCTTATTTTTAATATTAATGTGTAGCTCGGGATAATAGTAAACACTGAGGGCTCCTCCAGGAACTCCACTCGGGGTGCTGGACCCCCCCAACATGGGCTCTCCCTCAACTACTCAACTCTGTCACTGGGGAATTGGTGCAGCTGTTGCTTGCTGTAGCTTGGGTGTTCAGGACCCCTACACACACACACACACACACACACACACACACACACACACACACACACACACACACACACACACACACACACACACACACACACACACACACACACACACACACACACACACACACACACACACACACACACACACACACACACACACACACACACACAGGGCTCGCCTGATAACTCGCTTGAGTATGATGTCCTAACTGTTATCACCACCTGAAAGAACGTTAACCTCTGTCTTCTGTTACTTGTAAACATATATATTGCGGAGGAAGTTATTTTCTGTGGAGGTTAAAGTTGATAATCTATAAAGACGAGTTGAAGTTCTCCGCCAGTGGTCAAACTCCCTCATGTGAAGACCAGGTCACCAGGTAAAACAGAACGTTGGTAATTTTCCACGGAAAAGCATATTCCGGAGAACCTTCGTCTGTTCCCGATTTTTTTTTCATGCGTACATTGGCGATTTTCCACCAGGTGATAAGTTGAATGTGGCGTAAGATTCAGGTGAGAGAATCGCATATGATTCGCTGAGATATGTATTCAAGCATCAACCATTTTTGGGCGTCAACACTAAAAAAAAAAGCAATATTTTTAACGAGGTTATCCTTAAAGGAGGGCACTCGGGCTGAAGATAAGGCACGAAGTTGTGAGAATGAATGCAGCTGACTGCCAGGCAGACGCAGGTCCAAGGTTGCAGGTACCTGGAAGCCTTAACACCCACACCATCACGTCCTGAGCCTGCCTTAAAGACCTTAACCCTCGCAACATCAGGATCTTGGGTAGTTATAACCATAGTGACGGAGGCGAGAACGTTACAGCCCGCCTGCTGAACACCAGGGGGACCGGACTAAGGCTCCGGGGTTCGGGTAGGTGGTGGGTGATGGTATTAGTGAGGTGTGCTTCCCAGAAATGGGTTAGAGACAAACGATATCACTTCTCCATGGCTGGTGTGACCCTCAACACCTGGGCGTCGACCCGGCGCCTGTGTAGCTGAGAACACAATTTATTACCAAGAAATATTGTTGTTATCAAGTGGACACGTTATCCAAATTATATACATATACATGCAATTGACGATCACAATACACTGATCATTTTATGCGGAAAATCCACAGACAAATATGAAAGCAAGTGAACGTTTCGGCCTGTTAAAGCCTTTGTCAAAAAAAGACTGACTAATTTTTTTTGTGGATTTTCCGCATACATATACATATATGTATATGTATGTATATGTACTCATCATATACATATATGATGAGTTTGAGATGACCTTAAAGTTAATGAGTAAGTGAGGTCATTAAGGTAAATGAATTAGTTAGGACCTTAAGGTTGATTAATCTTGGGAAACACCTCACTATCTAATAAGACAGCCTCTTCAAAAATTATATAGAGGTAATGTTTCCAAACAAATAATGTAACTTAACTTTAATTATCACCAAGACAAAAGCTGTTACAGAGGCAACGAGATCCGTCTATACCTCACATTAACAGTCGAGATTAACGAAGCAGTTTGTACTAGGCACTTTTAATCTACATTAAAAATACAAAGAAAGCGAAAAAGCTTGTAGACAAAATATCACAACACACTAAACCGTGTCCTCTGTTTAGGTGCTCATAGCACACCTTAATGATGAGTGAGACTCATGTCATCTGAGTGTTTACTCACACTATCTTATGAGGGATGGTGAGTTTCACATGTTTAGAGGATAACGTCTACTTATTCACCTCTATTGGACAGCCTGTTGGGGCTAGAAGGATTTAACCTAACCTAACCTAACCTAACTCAACCCACACAATATATGATAGCCCTGCTCTCAACAGTCTAGCCCGTGGCCTGTAAAGTATCGATGGCTATATGTACAGCCTGATGGCTGTAAACATTGCTGATTCTTCAAACATTAACAAGAGCAGCAAACTTTAAATCATCTTGTATAATTTTCTTGTAAAATCGTTACAAAAAAATAAACAATTTAGATATTAATTTCATATGTCGAAAAATAATTTAGTTAATGCTCATGTAGTAAAAACCAAATGTATTTACCAGATAGCAGTCCTGATAATATTACCAGAAGGTGACAGTCTTATTAAAAGTCTACTATGAAATTTAGACTCTCGTTAATCACAAACTAATTACAGAGACAACAAAATTCAATGTACATAACTTTTTACTAAAAGAAATAGAATTGCTATATTAACAGAATTTATATATAAACATCCCTTTAATATTTATTAATATATGACAAATGTATCAGAATTTGAATTACTCTAATTCTAATTGGCAATGTTTATTACCAAAGTTTACCAATAAGAAGAGAAGATTCACAAACGTCATATCATATGATCATATTTCATCATATATCATATTTCATCATATGAAAGATACTAATAACTTTGTACTCAGGACATATCACTCAGAACTAATACATCGCATAATGATTTTTATTATTTTTTTCCTAAGAGATGCCGTTGAACTATTGTGATTTATAAAGTCGAGAGAGAGAGAGAGAGAGAGAGAGAGAGAGAGAGAGAGAGAGAGAGAGAGAGAGAGAGAGAGAGAGAGAGAGAGAGAGAGAGACTGATTTTGTTGTATTAAGACCAACACCAACGGTATTATTGATTTTATTTACTGGCATATGTCGACGTTATTTAAATCCAGTATTTAAATTCATTACACAGAAATTAGATGAGTTGCATAAGATTGTGAGCTCTCGTCTGCAGGACCTCAGCTTCGGCCTCTGCAGGACCTCAGCTTCGACCTCTGCAGGACCTCAGCTTCGGCCTCTGCAGGACCTCAGCTTCGGCCTCTGCAGGACCTCAGCTTCGGCCTCTGTAGGAAATGGGTTTTACGAAGTAGGGAGATTGGAACGCGGGTGTCACACTGAGCAAACGTCTTCCCAGTGGGCCAAACAACACTGAGTCAACGTTGAATCATTGTTATTGACGTTGAATAAACGTTGAATCATTGTTACTGACGTTGAATGAACGTTGTTTTCCCCACCCGTTACTGGGATACTTTGCGAAAGCTTCAGTGAGTCCATTAGTCTCGCACAAACTTGCGTCTGGACGTAAGTTGACGCAGCGACGATAGACAGGTTCAGGCAGAGGCTCAGTAAGTCTCCGGACACGCGAGGAGGTCCTCCTTACTGCTCTACTGTGATAAAGAGGTTCAAGTTGACTCTCTTCCCCATCCACACATTCAGAGAAGATCCCTCATCTGTGTCACATTGTTTCTCATCAGGTTAAGTCAGCTTCTTGACACGCACTGTCCTCATCTTGGATATTTCTCAACCCTTAGCTCTCATGTGCTGGTACCTGAGTACCATATTAGATCCTGAATGGTTACAGTTAGTTTGTTCCTACTGTGATTGAATAATTAAGTGATTTAAGTTATGCATTGTGTGGGATGCTACGTATACATGATATATACTTAATATGTATGTTGTGTGGGGGTATATATATATTGTATGTATATATATATATATATATATATATATATATATATATATATATATATATATATATATATATATATATATATATATATATATATATATATATATATATACCCCACATAATAAATAATATATATTATATGACACCCTGCTACCTATACCTTGTTCTGAAGGTGTTACGTCAACATGATTTATTAATTAAAGTTAATGTTACTTATACTTAATTTAGTACAAGTTGCCTATATGTATTAGAGTGAATATTACTTTGTATGCATCTTATTACAGGATATATTATAGACTTGGGTGGTTCATATATGGAACTTATCAAAAGGTAATGGGGGATACATCAAGATCTACATATATAGTAGTAAGTATAGTAAGATCTACATATATAATAATACATATTGATATTTTTTTCCAATTTATCAGTTCAGCATAACTGGGTGTATGAGGTGAGAAGCGGAAACACCTGCTGAGAGCCAGCAAAACACTGAACACTGAACTGAACACTGAACTGAACACTGAATTCCAGCTGTTATGTCTGCTGTTAGCACTATGTTGCTTTCCTGAATCGTGACAGCATTATGCGTTACCCTTAGTGATGAGTTAATGGTGTGGCTATTCTTAGTGATTAGAAATTTATAAAGCTATTCTTAGTGATTAGAGGTTTATAAAGCTATTCTTAGTGATTATAGGTTTATAAAGCTATTCTTAGTGATTAGAGGTTCATAAAGCTATTCTTAGTGATTAGAGGATTATGAAGCTATTCTTAGTGATTAGAGGATTATAAAGCTATTCTTAGTGATTAGAGGATTATAAAGCTATTCTTAGTGATTAGAGGATTATAAAGCTATTCTTAGTGATTAGAGGATTATGAAGCTATTCTTAGTGATTAGAGGATTATGAAGCTATTCTTAGTGATTAGAGGATTATGAAGCTATTCTTAGTGATCAGAGGATTATGAAGCTATTCTTAGTGATCAGAGGATTATGAAGCTATTCTTAGTGATCAGAGGATTATGAAGCTATTCTTAGTGATCAGAGGATTATGAAGCTATTCTTAGTTATCAGAGGATTATGAAGCTATTCTTAGTGATCAGAGGATTATGAAGTTATTCTTAGTGATCAGAGGATTATGAAGCTATTCTTAGTGATCAGAGGATTATAAAGCTATTCTTAGTGATGACAGTATTATGAAGCTATTCTTAGTGATTGAAGAATTATGAAGCTATTCTTAGTGATTAGAGGATTATAAAGCTATTCTTAGTGATTACAGGATTGTGATGGTATTCTTAGTGATTACAGGATTATGTAGCTATTCTTAGTGATTAGAGGTTTATAAAACTATTCTTAGTGATTAGAGGATTATGAAGCTATTCTTAGTGATTAGAGGATTATGAAGCTATTCTTAGTGATCAGAGGATTATGAAGTTATTCTTAGTGATTACAGGATTATGAAGCTATTCTTAGTGATTAGAGGATTATCAGTCAATCAAAACTTTATTCATAAATGGTAGTGCATTTATAACTGGGAAAGATTTACATAAATAATACAGTACATTAATTACATAAGAGTTACAATAACAGGAGAGCACATATACATTATCGTTATTGACGTAATTAATAACAACTTATACGACTCCAATTTCAACTACTGTATTCTTAGAAATTAGAGGATTTTGAGGCTGTTGGTAGTGATGACTAAATTATACAGCTGTTCTTAGTGAGGGCAGGATTATACAGCTGTTCTTAGTGAGGGCAGAATTATACAGATATTCTTAGTGATGGCAGGATTATACAGATGTTCTTAGTGAGGGCAGAATTATACAGATATTCTTAGTGATGGCAGGATTATACAGATGTTCTTAGTGAGGGCAGGCTTATACAGATGTTTTTAGTGAGGGCAGAATTATACAGCTGTTCGTAGTGGTGGCAGGAATATACAGATATTCTTAGTGGTGGCAGGAATATACAGATATTCTTAGTGGTGGCAGGAATATACAGATATTCTTAGTGGTGTCAGGAATATACAGATATTCTTAGTGGTGGCAGGAATATACAGATATTCTTAGTGGTGGCAGGAATATCCAGATATTCTTAGTGGTGTCAGGAATATACAGATATTCTTAGTGGTGGCAGGAATATCCAGATATTCTTAGTGGTGGCAGGAATATACAGATATTCTTAGTGGTGGCAGGAATATACAGATATTCTTAGTGGTGGCAGGAATATACAGATGTTCTTAGTGGTGGCAGGAATATACAGATGTTCTTAGTGGTGGCAGGAATATACAGAAGTTGTTAGTGATGGCCGGATTGTGGTTTTATCCTCAGCGATGATGACACATGCGTGACTATAGTGACAGACAATCATATCGGACACATGTGTCACATGACCAATGTATCCTCACTCATGCAGCACAGAAAACTAATTTCACCATTAAACTGCAACTTTAATTCTTACTAATTGTTCAGTAATTACCTTGTGCTGTGAATAAGGAAATTGGAGAAATATTCTCCTCCAAGTATCAGGCAAGGAAACCAGCGGGTTTATGAACATATATGAACCAAGTGGTAACTTCAGATGTAAGGCAGGCGATGAGTCACAATAATGTGGCTGACGTATGTTGACCAGACCACACACACTAGAAGGTGAAGGGGCGACGACGACGTTTCGGTCCGTCCTGGACCATTCTCGAGTCGATTGTCTTGAGATTGCCCACACAATCGACTTGAGAATGGTCCAGGACGGACCGAAACGTCGTCGTCCCTTCACCTTCTAGTGTGTGGTCTGGTCAACATCAGATGTAAGGCGTTGCTGGTCCTCCACACACACACACACACACACACACACCTGGCTGGCCGCTACACACACACACACCTGGCTGGCCGCTACACACACACGTCGGGGTTGGCATGAGCGCAGCGATCACAGAAGTATGCCAGGTCCAGGTAGATGAGCTGTTCTCCACTGGTGCATTTGGAGGTGTCGGTGATTATTTGCAGGTCCACCTGGCTCGGGGAGAACATGATCCAGGCAATGTCACACCCGCACCTCAGAGGGTTGTCTGAAGACACAAACGGTGCAATTAAAAAATATCCTTCAATAGCACCAAAGGTTATCCAGTCTACACAACAGCTGACGTAAAGATCCCTTTAAAAGCCTCGTACTTAGAGCTCCAGGAGAAGGCAGCCCACTACAATGCTACCTTTACCATTGATAACCTCATAAGGATTGGCAGGTGGGTGGACCCACCAGCCCCCACCTGTTTCCACCTGCACCTACCACCCACCTACACTTCAGGAGGTACGCTACAGTGATTTCATCGTTCCACTGAGTCCGTTGGGATCGCCCAGAGTAAAACAAAGTATGCGGAAGCTTGATTTATTTTCATTGAAGTATCTCACAAATATCTACTACTATTTACTAGCTACAGAAGTACTCTACATTTAGCGACTAGCCATTGAAGTGCCCCACACTAATCTACTAGCTGCTGAAGTGCCCCACATCTATCTACTAGTTGCTGAAGTGCCCCCACACTAATCTACTAGCTGCTGAAGTGCTCCACACTAATCTACTAGCTGCTGAAGTGCCCCACACTAATCTACTAGCTGCTGAAGTGCCCCACACTAATCTACTAGCTGCTGAAGTGCCCCACACTTATCTACTAGTTGCTGAAGTGCCCCACACTAATCTACTAGCTGCTGAAGTGCTCCACACTAATCTACTAGCTGCTGAAGTGCCCCACACTAATCTACTAGCTGCTGAAGTGCTCCACACTAATCTACTAGCTGCTGAAGTGCCCCACACTAATCTACTAGCTGCTGAAGTGCTCCACACTAATCTACTAGCTGCTGAAGTGCCCCACACTAATCTACTAGCTGCTGAAGTGCTCCACACTAATCTACTAGCTGCTGAAGTGCCCCACACTAATCTACTAGCTGCTGAAGTGCCCCACACTAATCTACTAGCTGCTGAAGTGCTCCACACTAATCTACTAGCTGCTGAAGTGCCCCACACTAATCTACTAGCTGCTGAAGTGCCCCACACTAATCTACTAGTTGCTGAAGTGCCCCACACTTATCTACTAGCCACTGAAATGCCCAGCTGTTATAAACTAGACATTGAATTTCCAGACACTTACCCATTAGCCAGTGAAGTGTCAGACACAAACCACCTACTAGCTAGTGCCAATACTAAGCCATTAGTTATCAGCCAATAAGGATACTGAATAATTTTCTACCAGTTATCGGGATCTAATGCCCCCTTAAACATATCATATTATCTGCACGAAAATGGCAGAATTGAAAACTTACCAGCCAAATCAAGAATCCCATTCGGGACAATCTGGGTAAAAAGGTGAGCCCAAGTTGTATTCGTCAGGTCAACTATTGAGTTGTTTCTCATCGAGACTTCTGCGTAGGGGACCAGCCCTGTTTTGGGAGAGAGATCGGTGAGTAAGCGTTCGGTCGGTTATAGTTCCGTGTATTTGAGTTCGGTAAGTGAGTTAGAGTTCGGTGACTTGGAATAAAGTGAGTAAGAATTCGTGTGCATTACAGTTCGGTGAATTAAAGTTAGGTGAGTAAGAGCTAGGTTAATAAGAGTTTGGGTTAATGAGAGTTCGGTGAATTGTGTTTGATGAATTAGAGCTATGTGAGTAAGAGTTTAATGAATTTGAGTTTGGTGAGTTAGAGTTCAGTGAAGTATTGTTTTGTGAATTAGTGTTCTGTGAATTAGAGTTTAGTGAATTAGAAATTGTCGAGTAAGTTGTTGGTGAATTAACATTAAGTGAGTAAGAGTTCAGCGAGTAAGCGTTTATTGAGTCAGATTTAGCGCCATTCTCATATTTCTGGTTTTAATAAAAGTGAGTGATTAATCATGATAAAATTATCGACTGTAACTCATGAATTATTATATTTGATGATTGGTGGCATTACTCACGCTCAGACACAGTACTCACCATGGAAGGTATCGTGATGAATAGTCTCGATGAGATTGGAGTCCAAGTTGATCGTCTTCAAAGTCTTACTCGGTGTCGCGATGGTAAATTCATTCAGGTCTGTGAGTTCATTCTGTTGCAGATCAAGTTGGGTTAGGAAGTTAAGTGCATTAAAGTAATTTGGTTCGATATTTTGGAGTTTGATTCGCGCAAAATATATTTCTTTCAATTTGGGAAGATTATCAATGCTGGACAAGGCCATGTTCTCGTTGCCACTTGCGCTGAGGATTTGCAGAGACGCCGACGTCATTGGCGACAACTCCAGGAACTCGTTATCGTCCAGAATTAATTGAGTAAGTACTAAATAATTTTCTATGACCTCAAATGGAAATTGTGAGATTTTGTTTTCTGAGAGATCCAGCGTCAGGAGAGTTTCTTGAGAGTTAGTGAAGGTCTCGTCGGCCACTTGAGTGAGCAGTGTCCCGCTGATGATCACATGTTCAAAGGTCAGGTCAGCGAAGGTGTTCCCGTCGATCACTGTTAGCTGGCTCGGGGTTCCTTTATGGTCTATTTTAAATTGTTTGAAATGTTTGAATGGAAACTGTACCAGGCTGAAAGCGTCTTCTAGTTCTTTATCAGTTGTGACTCCAGAACAGTCAATAAACAGCTCGAAGTATTCGTTAGTAGAGCAGACGCAGGGATAAAAGTCGGAGTCTACCGGGCAGGGCCACTCTCGAGGGTTCGAGTCCTGGACGGGGTTGACCAAGGAGGGAGTGACATCCCCCACACCAAGGACCACCACCACACACACCACCACAATCTTCAACACCATCTTACGGCCTCTGTGTCGCAGTCAGCGGCTGTCAGCAAGGTGGCGTGTGCTGGTCCACAGCTGTTCTTATATTACACCAGCCTTATCTTATCGCCAGACTTGTCCACAGCAGCCCTTATACTCCTCCAGCCTTATCATACTGCCAGGCAGGGCGCGACGGTGGCGCCAGGGTGCCCAAGACGTCGACTATCATCAACTAAACACTAGACTGTCCTTGCTGTACTGTGTGTACATATATATATATATATATATATATATATATATATATATATATATATATATATATATATATATATATATATATATATATATATATATATATATATATATATATATATATATATATATATATATATATATATATATATATATATATATATATATATATATATATATATATATATATATATATATATATATATATATATATATATATATATATATATATATATATATGCGAACAAGCATGAATGGTCCCCAAGCAGATATGAGAATGATAACTCCACACCCTAGAAGTGACTCGAACCCGGACCACCAGGAGCACATTGCAACTGGTGTACACGGTGCCTTAAACCACTCGACCATCAATGACCGTACAAAAAAGTGGTGATAGCCGAGGCTATTTGAACCACCACCCCGACGGCACTTTGATGGTAATCTTGGGCATCTTCGAGTGGTTTAAGGCACCGGGAACACCAGTTGCAATATGCTCCTTACGGTCCAGGTTCGAGTCACTTCTGGGGTGTGGAGTTTTCATGCTTTCCTATGTTCGTTTCCTTACTGTAGACAGCAGTGTGGAAGCCACCATTCCTTTCCGTGACTGTTACATCTAGAAAGGGCAGCTTCCCATCACTCTAAAAGCCGTAAGTGAAACTTAACACTGAATTTTGCTCGAATGCCTCCTTCAGCTGCTGCAAACGTCTGACATCAGGAACCTGCATAAAAATGTCATCAACGTACTTGCAGTATATGGCGGGTTTCAAGTCCATATCAACCAAGACCCTCTGCTCTATGGTGCCCATGTAGAAGTTCGCAAACAGGACACCTAGGGGAAAACCCATGGCGACCCCATCTACTTGCTTATACATGTGCCTATCGGGACTCAAAAAGGGTGCCTCTTTAGGGCAGGCTTGGAGTACCTTCCTCAGTATGCTCTCTGGTATGTCCAGAGGGGTACAAGCCGGATCACGATACACTCTGTCATCATCATCCTGATTGTTTCGTCCATAGGCACGTTGGTAAACAGCGACTCCACGTCCAATGAGGCTCTTATCCCTGCGGTCCGTGCTCCCCTCAGAAAGTCAACGAATTCCTTTGGAGAACTCAGGCTAAAAGCACAAGGCACATAAGGAGTCAGCAGGCAGTTGAGTCGCCTAGCCAGTCTGTATGTGGGTGTGGGTATTTGGCTGATGATTGGCCGAAGTGGGTTTCCAGGCTTGTGGGTCTTGACATTCCCATATACGTAATCAGGTTTGTATTCCCCGATAACCTCTAGCAGGTGGAGTCCGGATTTCTTCGCTCTCATAGTTTCAATCAATCTGTTTACCATCGTTTTCAATTCGGCTGTAGTGTCCCTCGTTATCCTTTGGAATTTAGTTTGATCGGGGAGGATGAGGTTCATTTTTGCCAGATATTCGTCTTTTTTGAGAATAATATTGGCGACTTGTCACCTCTCCTGACGACTATCTCTTAATTCTCACAAAGGCTCTTAGCTACCGCTTTGAGTTCGGGGGACAGTGTGGTGCTTCTTTAGTTACCTCGAATCTTTCCTCCTCCTGCAATAAGTTCTGCTTGCAAGGTGTCTTTAGTGGTAACCTTTTGCGTTTTGAGGTCGAATATGTCGTCCAATAGGATCTCCAACTCCACTTTCCAGGCCATCTCACTTGGTCTGGACATAACGTGACAGTTTATACCCAGATTTAAGAAAGTGATTTGGTCCTCAGTGAGGTTGATTCCAGCAAGGTTTAAGAAGCCATCTCTGGGTCGTGGAATCGCCATTGGTCCTCCAAATAATCTTGTCAGTTTCTTGATGATCCTGGTTTCGGTGCTGTGGCGATTTCGATCTGCAAGAATGTCGAGGTGTTGGTCGATTCGAGTACGGAGGTCTTCGTCGATGTTGGTGTGTCTCCATTGGTCTGTAGCATGAAGTAGTTGCGCTTTGCTATCGTTGATCTCATATTCTGCCTTGTGTATCTAATTTCGAATCAGATCTTGACGATATTTTATCGTGAAAGCTTGGTTTCCTGCTGCTGGGTCGTGCGTTTTAATATTAGTATATTTTGGTAGCAGTCTTTCCTGTAAACATATGTTGTTGAATATAATCGAAAGGGTAAGGTTAATGATTCTAACACGAAACTTCTCAGTATTTCTTATGTTTTTCTTCACTGTCGAGGGTAGTTGAAAAATTAACTCTCCAAAGTTAATTTTCACACTTTATTTATGGTTTGACGCCTAGAAGCGTTTCGCAAGACACTTTTTATATATTCAAAGATAATTTTACATACTCAGCAGTCAACCCTCTACAGCAGTCAAACGTGGTATACATGTACACTTGCCCCCACAAAGGATGTAAGCTTCAGTCTAAGTACATAGATATGACGTCGACCAAGCTGACGAGGCGTTTGACCTGTCATCTTCAATCAGGTGCCCCCCCCAAAATCACATGAGACAAGCCCATGACATCACCCTAACAAGAGTAAAGTTGAATAAAAACACTTGTATAATAGACAAAACCCAGGATGTAAGAAGATTACAAATTCTTGAAGCAATCCATATAAAACTGGAACAACCTACCATAAATACCCAAATTACGGAACTTTTCACTCTACCCACCATGAGAGTAACAACAAGACCGGAACGTGAAGATGCTAACAAAGAAGACACTGCTCAACATACTAGGCCTACTACACCTGATTAATCTTTGTATGTGCTTCGTCCCCTATTTTCTACTTTTTGCTTTTACGCCTTACCTTTTCCTTTATTCTTGTCCCATTTGTGTAGATCTACTTGTCTTTACCCGACCCCTTACTGGTATACATCTAACACGCCTTGCATTTTCTTATCACTTGAGAATGAACCATGTAGGTTCGAAACGTTGTGTAAATTTTGTATTAAGTGTAATACATTCTATAGTTATTTATTTATTTTTCTTCACCTCAAACGAAGATGACCTTTCGAGAACTTCTCTTCCAATTAAACCAAGATGCTAGAGCACTAGTCAGAGGGATAGAAGACCTAAACAAGAATATATATATATATATATATATATATATATATATATATATATATATATATATATATATATATATATATATATATATATATATATATATATATATATCTGCACCCCTGACTCTCCAGGGTCACCTGCCCAAATCACCCCTGCCCTGGATAGTCATGGCTTTCATAAGGGTTGGGGAAAAAATATATATCCATTTGTTTTTGCATTTGTAAAATTTGTGTAAAACGTGCAGATATTCTTGAAGGGTTTACGTATCATTTACTCCGAAGCCACTTTTCCTCTCTCTCTCTCTTCTCCTCTCCCTTCCACTCTCCCACACCCTTCTGCTCTCATATTCCTTCAACTCTCTTCACTTTTCTCCTCTCCACTCTCCCTACCCTCTCCTGTCTTTACTACACCGAGGATATTGAGCGAGTAGATTTTTCAAGTTGTTTGTCATTTTCATAATCCATCTGTTTGTCATCATTTTCCTGTTCTTAGCCTGTGTTCATACCCCAGCTGGTAGTGCTCCCTTATACCCCAGCTCCTAGTACATCCTTATATTCCAGCCGTTAGCGACGAAAAAATCTTAACTGGACATCAGTTCTGAGAGTACGAGAAAATGGCGAGACTCAAAGATTCATTTGCTTAATGCCCAGATATGAGGTATTATGCCCTAATTATTCTGAAACTTGGGGTATAGGAGAGTTGTTCCTTCTCCCACTCCCCCACCCCCATCCCTTACTCCCTAATGCTAACCCACCCACTACCCCCACCCCAACCACTCACATCTCCCCCCCTACAACCCCCGAACCCCTTACCACCCTAATCTCTCTCCCTCAAAAATCTTCCCTTTAAATGAAAGGAATATTTTGGGCCATTTTTCCTTGAGGACTATATTATGTTAAGGAACACGCGTGTCTCCTGTTTTTCTGCTGCTAAACGTTTGCTCCATTATGGGAAGGACATTCAGACTTCAGAGTGTCTAATTTAAAAGGCAAATATCACTCAAGAATAACTACCATATTCTTCAGTGAGGTTAGACTTGAATCATCGTCAGATAATGACTTACACAGAGTCCGAGAAGCACCGAAGACTTACACAGAGTCCGAGAAGCAAAGATTACTTTAGAAGTAATAAATTAGCTGGAGCTTCACGCCATGTATTTTGCCCACGAGTAACTTCCTCACGTCATCCAGTGGGGGCAGTGCCCAATTCCAGTGGTCATTGATGATTGAAACCATTATATATTGAACGGTGTGTGTATTTTTACAAGTATATTGGATGCTGTTGCATATTATACATTTAAATTATTATACATTATACATTGTATTTTACTGAATATTATAAATATATATATAATATTATATATATTATAAATATATATATTAAATGTATATAATATTTTATATATATATATAGATAAATGTGTGTGTGTGGACAATTATTGTATGTAACATAGTGCATATTATACATCAGTAATTAAGCCCTAAAGCTAACCCAAACATGTTAGAACATGAAATTGTTATAAACAATAAAATGGTCTTTTATATACATATGAAAACCAGTGTTTATCCTAATTTCCGAACATTAAGGAGAAACCTAGAAATTAAATAACTCGTTTTGTGTTCAATCCGTTCGAACTGGTGCTCGGACCTTCAGGAACGCATTCAGTCGTAGAACAAATAATCTGAAGAATCTGACGCGCACTCGGTGATGAAGAAGCTCTCATCGAGGTAGCGCACCTGACTGCCATCTGTGCAGGTGGTGGTGTTGGTGAGGACGCCTCGGTACGTGTCGTACGGGGCCAGGAACAGCCAGTCCATGTCGCACCCGCACACCAGAGGGTTTTCTGTAACGACACACAAACAGCATTGTTGTTTATTACCAGACTGGACGTCGTCGGGTGAGTAAGTCATAATCACAAGACTGCACCAAGCCTGGAAGGCTACATGCAGCTCTTTATGTCTAGCAACAAATAAAAAGATATCGGGAGGTATTTTAGTTCCCCCGAGAGCTTTAATAGTTTGGTATATTAAAGAAGTCACGCTTGTATACCTTCACCCTGACCCCTCGTACCACTAAGCCAACACACAAGTGACCAGATTCACGAAAGTGCTAACGCAAGCACTTACGAACCTGTACATGTTTTCTCAATCTTTGGCAGCTTTGTTTACAATTATTAAACAGTTAATGAGCTCCGAAGCACCAGGAGGCTGTTTATAACAATAACCACAGTTGATTGGGAAGTTTTCATGCTTGTAAACTGTTTAATAAATGTAACTAAAGCCGTCAAAGACTGAGGACAGATGTACACGTTCGTAAGTGCTTGCGTAAGTGCTTTCGTGAATCTGGCCCAAGGTCTCTCCTACGAGTAACTCACTCTGGAAAATATCATATAATGTGTTAACAAAAATCTATGCTATATGTAATTATGGTGCTCGAGCTTTTATGGTGTACGTCTTTGTATATTATGTCATTACGTATGTGCTGTTTTATAGGCTTTTGCTTCGATGAAGCGCTTTTAATTATCATATCTCTAATATTTCATTAACATATTGTTGTAAAAGTTACCATCATTGTTGGAACCATTGACACCCTTCTTGGAACCATTGATACCATTCTTGGAACTATTGATACCATTCTTGAAACCATAGATACCATTCTTGGAACCATAGATACCATTCTTGGAACCATAAATACCATTCTTGGAACCATAAATACCATTCCTGGAACCATGGACACCATTCTTGGAAACATAGATACCATTCTTGGAACCATAGATACCATTCTTGGAACCAGTCACCATTCATGGAACCAAAGACACCATTCTTGGATTCATAGTCACCATTGTTTTAAAAATAAGAGTGTGTGATAACAGAGCCCCCTAGCGGGAAGAATGCGAGACACAACACTGTCAAGGATCACTCACCTCCTGATCCCTATTTAACCCATTTAACACTGAATAAATCACTCGAATGGTTGCTAACCTGACAGGTCGATGGTTCCCGAGGGCACCTGGTCGAAGAGAACTCTCCAGTTGGTCTCATTGAGCTCGCTAACATCATTCCCAACTAGGGAAACGAGGGCGTCTGGGGTCAAACCTGTCAAGAGAAAATTTGGAAAACATATAATGGACAGTTTCTTGACCTCTCACCCAGTTATGACAAGGAACTAGGGTCCAGCGAATTTCTCTCGCTTGTTACGTTACTGGTAATGTTGTTCTTGGAGATGAATAAATTGTTTTAGCAGTAGTAGAAGCAGTAGTAGGAGGAGTAGTAGTGGTAGTTTATTTATTGTGGTAGAAGTGAGCAGTAGTAAGTAGTAGTAGCAGTAGTAATAGTGGTAGTAACAGTAATAATGGTAATATTAGTAGCAGTAGCAATAGAAGTAGTATTTGTAGTAGTGTTATTATTAGTAGTAGAAATAATGAAGTATTAGTAATAGCAGTAGCAGTAGAATAAGTAACAATTCAATTACATTTTAACATCAAACTGTGACAATTATTTATACACATGATAGTTCAATGTGTTAGATTATGGCTCGTAGCAGTAGTAGATAAAGTATAACTATTAGTAAAATCTTATTAATCATGCTTATACAGAATGCCTATAAACATGCCCTCAAAGATTCATTGAATTGGTATCATGGGCAGAGAGTTAGCTAACAACAGATGATCCATGTTTGGGAGCAGACTAACCTTGCACGGAGGTGTTGTCAATTGAGTCGATCATATTATTGTCCAAAATGATCTGTGTAACTGTGTCCCTTGGTGAGTCGAAGGTCGCCTCCTCCAGGAAGGTCAGACCATTTCCCTCCAGGTTGATGATGGTGATGTTATCTAGGGGATGAAAGACGTGTGGTGGGAGGGTGTCCAAGTTATTGCGCGCCAAGCTTATGGTCTGTAGCCGTGGAGCGTTCTTGAAGACGTCAGATGAGAAATACAGATTTACATTCCCGTTGATGCTGAGAGACAGCAGTGTTGGAGAAAAGAGGTCTGGGAGTTCAGGGAGGTTGTTGTCGTCCAGGACCAAACTAGAGAGTTTTGTGTACAGTTCAAGCGTGTCGAATGGAAATGAGTATAATTCATTTTTTGCAAGGTTTAGGTACGTAAGAAAATGTTGCGAGTCTTCAAAGACACTGTCTTGCACTTCTGACAGCTTCGTCCCTTGGATGATGACTGCTTCAAACGACAGGCCAGCGAACACAAATGGATCTAATGCGTTCAGATTGTAATCAGGATCATACGGATCCTGTACAATTCTCAGCTCCACAAAATCCGTGAAAGGAAATATTACGCTAAACGCTCTTGTCAACTCTATATTACTCGTTACAGCTGAACAGTCAATTTTGAGATCAGTGTTCTGGTTCGAGGTGCAGGTACAAGGCAGAAAGTCCGTCTCGTCCGGGCAGGGCCACTCTCGAGGCTGAGGGTTCGAGTCCTGGACGGGGTTAACCAAGGCGGGAGTGACATCTCCCACACCAAGGACCACCACCACACACACCACCACAATCTTCAACACCATCTTACGGCCTCTGTGTCGCAGTCAGCGGCTGTCAGCAAGGTGGCGTGTGCTGGTCCACAGCTGTTCTTATATTACACCAGCCTTATCTTATCGCCAGACTTGTCCACAGCTGTCCTTATACTCTTCCAGCCTTATCATACTGCCAGGCAGGGCGCGACGGTGGCGCCAGGGTGCCCTGGATGGATACTAAGCTTTTAATGTACAGTTTCATTCAAACAAAGGACGTCACAAGAAGCCACTGGACCCGGACTAGGATTGCTATCTACTGAAGACTTTACACAAAGAATGCAACGTTACAAGTAAATATAAGGAATAGCTATCTAATTATATATAAACTGCATAGTTTTTGCTATATACTGCATTTTCTGGTAAAGTTTTGTATGATAATTACTCTATGAAAACAAAATATCTTCGCTTCCCAAGAATTTCAGTTTAAGGCTACAAATCTTCATTCTAGTCTTACTCTCTCTGACTCAGAAATACCGAAAACCCAAAATTCTAAATCAAGACTATAATGGCTTTTGACAGTTCTGAACACTTTCATTCACCTGGTAATATCCGCTTCGCAACACTGAATTTAACTAATACATTGAAGCGATGTTCAGATCATGTAATTATTAGACGGGGAATCTTGGCTTCGCTGGGCTGTCAGCAGCCTCTAATTTATCAGAATTCTTCTTCAAATATACTACAACAGCAGACTGTTCCCGCGATGAGGCGAGTGTACACTTATACCGTACTAAAGTGTACACTTATACCATCCTAAGGAGTATACTTATCCTGTACTAAAGTGGACACTTACACCGTACTTAAGTGTACATTTATACCATACTAAAGTGGTAAGCCATCCTCCGAATTGACAGTAAGGTTTAATACTAAGTGTAATAAGTACATTACCTTACTGGCATACATAGTACGAAATTGCACTTATGGGACTGTTACATTTACCTCCCCATTTATTCTCCTCGTTTAGACACTCAGAATTTTAGGATGAAGTTTTCAAGTACAATTTGCTATACACAAGGTTTAAATATCAGGAATTTCTTTTTCAGTTTTATTAAACAATAGAGATTTTATACAAAATTTGAAAATATCCTGAGTCACTTTACAATTTATTGAAATATTTTAGTTTTGTCTTATTAGTTATATAAAACTGTAATATCAGTATAGCTATAGGTTAAATACTAATTGTAATTAAGAAGCAATAAAATGGTTATCTTCAAACGCTAAGAAGGTTAGGTTAGGTCGTGGTTTTCTATTCAGTTTTTCAGGTAAACTCAAATATTCACAATATATTTGACAGTACGGTTTAACACTAAGTGAAATTACTACAATTCCTGACTGCTACGAATAGTACATAATTGCACTTACTTGTGCTGTTACATTTACCTCCCCATTTTTGGAGGATGGGCTGTAAAGTGTACACTTATACCGTACTAAAGTGTACACTTATTCCATACTAAAGTGTACACTTATACCGTACTAAAGTGTACACTTATTCCATACTAAAGTGTACACTTATACCGTACTAAAGTGTACACTTATTCCATACTAAAGTGTACACTTATACCGTACTAAAGTGTGCACTTATTCCATACTAAAGTGTACACTTATATTGTACTAAAGTGTATATGAATGCGATAATTGTTACGGAATTCCTAGGCCTTCGTCAATCTACCCACGTCACGTTAAGTAGACGGTCATCTACCCCCGTCACGTTAAGTAGACGGTCATCTACCCACGTCACACAGACGGTCATCTACCCCCGTCACACAGACGGTCATCTACCCACGTCACACAGACGGTCATCTACTCACGTCACACAGGCGGTCATCTACCCCCGTCACACAGACGGTCATCTACCCCCGTCACACAGACGGTCATCTACCCACGTCACACAGACGGTCATCTACCCACGTCACACAGACGGTCATCTACCCCCGTCACACAGACGGTCATCTACCCACGTCACACAGACGGTCATCTACCCACGTCACACAGACGGTCATCTACCCCCGTCACACAGACGGTCATCTACCCACGTCACACAGACGGTCATCTACCCACGTCACACAGACGGTCATCTACCCACGTCACACAGACGGTCATCTACCCACGTCACACAGACGGTCATCTACCCACGTCACACAGACGGTCATCTACCCACGTCACACAGACGGTCATCTACCCACGTCACACAGGCGGTCATCTACCCCCGTCACACAGACGGTCATCTACCCCCGTCACACAGACGGTCATCTACCCACGTCACACAGACGGTCATCTACCCACGTCACACAGACGGTCATCTACCCCCGTCACACAGACGGTCATCTACCCCCGTCACACAGACGGTCATCTACCCCCGTCACACAGACGGTCAAGGGCAGCATTACCATTCACGTGCGCAGATATTGCTCTTCTTCTTCCCCATCTTTGTTGTCCTCATTTAATTGCCGGAATTCACTTCACTGAGGGATGAATAATATTAAATTATTCATGACAACAGAGCGTCGTGCAGGACATATCACCAGTCTCGTAGAATGACTGTAGTTCTCGGAGCGACAGTAGTTGCTCCGGAGCTACAGTCCTCCGTAGCTGCTCCGGAGCTACAGTCCTCCGTAGTTGCTCCGGAGCTACAGTCCACCGTAGCTGCTCCGGAGCTACAGTCCTGCAGTTGCTCCGAGCTCTCCGGAACTCGGAGCAACGTGGGGAGGGGGAGGGGGGGGGAGGATGGATACATAGGGGTATATCAACTGAATAAATTTGGATTCAGGAAAAGATATGCATCAAAATTCATTTGGAAACAGGGTCTTAGCTTGATGGAATAAAAACACCGGTAAAATTGTTTTGATGTGGGTTCGCTGGATTGTTTCAAGCGTAGGTTAAACTATGAATGAGTTTGGGTGGATATAAATGGGAGTTTCATCTAATGGGCTAACAGACTTTTTTGCAGTTTCCTTTATTCTTATATCTTATTTTGTTGTAATAATTCTATAATTTTAAGAGGCAGGAAGGAAGGCAGGGAAGCTTCTAGCCTTGATGAAGCTGACAGGAACAGGAGGGGGGGGGGGTAGGGGATGGGGAGGGGGGAGAGGGGAGTGGGAGGATGGGGAAGTGTGGGAAGGGGGGAGGAGTCAGGTGGTGGTGTGCTATCTCCACTTCTTTACGGAACGTGAGGTAATCTTGGGCGACGGGTCACAGAGGTGCGTCAGTGTTGATGATTTGACAAGGCTTGAATGTTGACGATGTAGCAAGGCTTGAATGTTGACGATGTAGCAAGACTTGAATGTTGACGATGTAGCAAAACTTGAATGTTGACGATGTAGCAAGACTTGAATGTTGACGATGTAGCAAGACTTGAATGTTGACGATGTAGCAAGGCTTGAATGTTGACGATGTAGCAAGACTTGAATGTTGACGATGTAGCAAGGCTTGAATGTTGACGATGTAGCAAGACTTGAATGTTGACGATGTAGCAAGACTTGAATGTTGACGATGTAGCAAGGCTTGAATGTTGACGATGTAGCAAGACTTGAATGTTGACGATGTAGCAAGACTTGAATGTTGACGATGTAGCAAGACTTGAATGTTGACGATGTAGCAAGGCTTGAATGTTGACGATGTAGCAAGACTTGAATGTTGACGATGTAGCAAGGCTTGAATGTTGACGATGTAGCAAGACTTGAATGTTGACGATGTAGCAAGACTTGAATGTTGACGATGTAGCAAGACTTGAATGTTGACGATGTAGCAAGACTTGAATGTTGACGATGTAGCAAGACTTGAATGTTGACGATGTAGCAAGACTTGAATGTTGACGATGTAGCAAGGCTTGAATGCTGTTGTTGCTTCTCTACTCCACATTGATATTAAGTAACTGTGAGAGAGACGAGACCACAGAGGTCACCAGGAAGATCACAGAGGTCACCAGAGACCACAGAGGTCACCAGAGACCACAAAGGTCACCAGAGACCACAGAGGTCACCAGAGACCACAGAGGTCACCAGGAAGATCACAGAGGTCACCAGAGACCACAGAGGTCACCAGAGACCACAGAGGTCACCAGGAAGATCACCAAAATAACTCAAGTGAAAGTTAATGTGCGTAGTAGCAGCACCAGCCCAGGTGACCTCTGATTACACGTATTTATTATGTGTGTTTGAGAGAGACTCTTTAAACACAAGTCGTATTTAGTCTTCAAACATCTTCAGAAGTCAATATATTCTAATTTTTGTTAAGAGTTAACGCGATATAGTACAGTGCCTATATTCTGATTAGTGCATACATACATTGACATATTTTTATCAAAAAGCAAAGATTATTTCGCTGAGACATAGTCTTATTCAAATGTACTCGGCTAATTTATTTGTAATTATATCTTTTGAAAATCTAATGTGGTTTATTTGTCAATATATTCTCCCATGATGCCATAGTTTCTAGCGCATTTCTTATACACACCTGCCTGATTAGAATAACTTAAATAGGATTAAATGCTTCTTGACCAGAATATAGATGGCTATAATACTCTGGCCAGGTGTTTGGTGAGGTCCTTGGTGGTAACGCAGACGAAGAGGCTGGAGATGGTTTACTCTGCATCTGGAGGGGCTTCCCTGCCCCGCCTCTTCTCTTCATATGCCACAACGTACACATTACAAAGTGCTAACCTCACCAGAAGCGCACGAACCCAACAACCCACCTAACATAACCTTCTGATGCATAGGAAACGTGGTTGTCTGCGAGTCGCTACCTTTCATAGTACTCTGTATTTTGTACGATGGCAACCATAACGTACACATGAGTAGCATTAGTTGAGTGGAGGGGTTGAGAGCCAGCGGTATAGACAAGGTTCAGCGTGCGGCCGTCAGACAGACTGAGCAGCATAAGCTGGAAATAAGTCTCAGTTGAGGAACGAAACCTGAACGAGCATTATTAGTTGAGAACCAGTAAGGTATATATATATTTATTGTCAACCTGAATACCGTAGACAGCTTCACTCACCTGAACGCTAGGAGCTGCCAACACCCAACCTCCAGCAAGAGGAGACTGTCGCTCTATCAACTGCGCAACTGAGCTAGCCACCATGGAGAAGGAATAAAGAGGCATCTAATTGCTGCCCAAACTGGACCTTAAAGCCCTCTCCCGGGCTGCTGAAGGTCGGGTGTTCGAGGCTCCTAGTACCCAGGTGAAGTAAATCTTATTGTCCACGGTATTGTGGTTGACAGTTTATATGAGTCAGACGCGGATCACCAAATTCTCCTGTGGTCGAGTGGCAGCCCGGCGGCAGTCGGACTGACCCTGACCAACCTATTACAAACCCATACTACCCATGTGTCATCTTGATATATATATATTCTGCAAAGGTTTTAAAACATATTTATGAATTATTTTATCATTATTAGCTGAAGATAACAAGAGAAGATGAATACAAGGAAAGTGTAGACAAAAATTAGCCGCACAGATCACACATTTGTCCTTAGTGGAGGTAACATTAGCGGGAGACATCAGTGGGGGACCTTTATAACTGGCATATTTATCACAGGAACAATTTGCACTCAGTTCTCGTATCTTACAATTATATTTTCGTCTTAAAGCAGCAAGTAAGCCTTTCATTAATAATTCTTTACTATTCTCGTGTCGTAAATAAGGAAACTAAGGAAATATTTCCTGTTCATCAAGCTACGACACTTTTTAAAATGAAGCATTACTCCAAGAGGTCACATCTGGTGGAAAGGTTTGCATAATGTTCTCCATGACTCCTCGTGGCCCCGAGACTGTCCTTATGGACAAACATCAGGGACAATGTGATCACAGAATTTACAGAAGAACTGCACGTCGAGGAAGGAGACCTGGGCGCCGCTGGAGCAGAGGGTGGTGTCGGTGATGATCTGGAGGTCCTCCCGCTCCGGCGAGAACATGATCCACGCCATCTCACACCCGCACCTCAGCGGGTTGTCTGTCAACACCAACACTCTAGTTACAACAATGACCTGCCTTCCTCATCACAATATATTTGTAGTAGACTAGGGGGTACCCGGTGGTGTCCGGGTCTCTCTCTCTCTCTCTCTCCTCTCCCTCCTCACCAAGTCTTCCCACTTCCCCATCTTTCTCCATCCTTCTCTACCCTCCTTCCTCTCACTCCCCGCTTCTTCCATCTTTCCCTCTCCCCTCTAAGCTCCAATTACTTGGGCTGGACGGCAGAGCGACTTCTTGCCGGTCGGCGTTCAATCCCCGACCATCTAAGTGGTTCGGCACCCCATTCCTCCCCCCATTCTATCCTAAATCCTTATCTTCATATCCCTTCCAAGTGCTATATGGGATGTAATGGCTTGGCGCTCTCCCATGATAATTACCTTACCCTACTCTCTCCCCCCTCCTCTCCCCCTCTGCCACACCGCCTCCCTCCTCATCCCTCTTATCTTCCCCTCTTATCTTCCCCTCTTATCTTCCCCTCTCCATGTTCATCTTCACCTTCTCCCCTTTTATTCCCATCTTCCCTCCATACTCCTTCACCTCTACCTCATCCATTTGTTCCCCCCTCTCTCCTTCCTCCCTCCCTCGTTCTCCTTCACTCCTCCTCTGTCTGTCTGTCTGTCTGTCTGTCTGTCTGTCTGTCTGTCTGTCTGTCTGTCTGTCTGTCTGTCTGTCTGTCTGTCTGTCTGTCTGTCTGTCTGTCTGTCTGTCTGTCTGTCTGTCTGTCTGTCTGTCTGTCTGTCTGTCTGTCTGTCTGTCTGTCTGTCTGTCTGTCTGTCTGTCTGTCTGTCTGTCTGTCTGTCTGTCTGTCTGTCTGTCTGTCTGTCTGTCTCTCTCTCTCTCTCTCTCTCTCTCTCTCTCTCTCTCTCTCTCTCTCTCTCTCTCTCTCTCTCTCTCTCTCTCTCTCTCTCTCTCTCTCTCTCTCTCTCTCTCTCTCTCGCAAACACACAGCATAACAATGTTAGCTTTACTATTGTTACTTGGAAGCAACGTTTTGGTTGTGTGATGAGAAGATAATAATATGTAAATACTCTCCGGAAAACCAAACCCATATTTCAGATGTCACAGGAGTCGCAGGTACTCGCAACAGGAGCCGATTCTATTAAAAGGTGGCAGTGGGACCAACCCTGATCTGCCTATTACAATCCCATACTACCTATGTGTCATCTTGAAAAGTTGAGTGAAGCAAACCCTAATTGTCTGGCCTACTTCCTTGAACAGACAAACAAACGTTTTCTTTTAAATATATATATATATAGGCCTACTACACCTGATAAATCATTGTATGTGCTTCATCCCCTATTTTCGTCTTACATTTTCCTTTATTCTACCTGTCTTCACCTGACCCCGAACTGGTATAAATCTAACGCGATTTGTATTTTCTTCGAGACACAAGTTAGAGCCCCGCTCCTGTGCCAAGTAAGTCCACTACGGGCTCACCATAGCCAGTGTTACTTGGAACATTTGTTCCCAGTAGCTGAATCTAAAACAACAACAACAAACGTATTTTCTTCCCCAGCCACACAGACACTTTTTCACACTGCGACCAGTTGAGTGTGTGGACATAATGCGACCCAAACGTCTGAAGGTTAGAGCTACTCCCCTTGACGGTCACGCTTTCCGGAAAAGTGATATTCTAAAGATCCTGAAGGGCGTTACCGGCATCACACCCACTAACATTGGTCAAGAAGGTAATGATATCGTGCTCTTTTTTTAATGTGAGGAAGAGCAAGAAAAAGTCTGGTCAACATATTTCAGCCACGTTATTTTGACTCATCGTCTGCAGCTAGAAAAATTCTTGACCAGCGAGTCGATACTTCGTAAGGAGCATCACCTACATCCTCACTTCCCACGTCAGTTCCTGGCCGGAAGAACTGTTTTCACCAGCAGCACCAGCCAATGGATCGCTGACCGACCGCAACAAGAGATCATGGACGATATCGAGGATGAAAATCCGAGCCTGGGGTGTATTTAACCTAGAGTTCTGCAGCACCGACAAATCTTCAATGAAGATTACATAGCTGCGGCCACCCAAGGTTTTTACTGCTTCGGCTTGCTAATACAACCCTCACCAAGTAAAAAAGGAACGATACCATGAGATCCAGCAGTGCTTCAAGTGCTACGAGCTCTCCCACCAGACCAACAAGTGTCAGCACCCTGTCCAGAGGTGCAGCCTGTGCGCACTGGACCATCACTACTTCATATGCAAGGCAACAGTCCATCGCTGTTTGCTCTGTGATGGCAATCACCCCGCAAATTTCCTACCGTTGCTCCCGCAGACAGGAAAACATTAAGGCTCAGGTTGAACCCAAGAGAAACAACCCTCCTTCCTCCGCGACCAGAGCTCCAGGTGCTCAACCCACCACCTCAGCTCCCACCAACCGACTAGAAGATTTGTCAGCCTTACCAAAGAGTGGCTCATCCAACCAGGCGACCCAGCCTTCACAATGGGGACTCAAGGCCCCACAGGCTATTTCGCAACCCCCCTGCATCACGTGTAGGCATTATTCCTAGTCTTATTAGACTAGTAGAGAGGCTTGCTGGACCGGACAACCACCGTTTTGTCAGTGAACTGAACGTATTAGACCTAGCCAATAGCCTGGAACCCATCATAGCTCCTGGTGCAAGTCTCACTGCCTCCACTACCACTCCGGAGACTACCACCAGGACGACCACGAGGTCGATTTCAACACAGACTCCAGAACTACCCATGACCCGGGCGACACAAACAGAGGAAATTCCCTCTCCAGCTCCCAACACTCCTACCATCACCATCTCAGCAGCCGCGCTAGCAGACGTGCTGTTTACAAATGCTAACAGCACCACCAGCGCCCCAGAAATAGCTTCTTCCACCAATCCACGACACCTGCGAGGCTGTGAGGCGAAAGACGAAAACACCAACTACGGAGGTTACGGACTCCTCAGACGAGGAAATCTTAGTAGGAGCTCCACCGCCGCACCACAAATACGACACATACTTGGTTCAAGACTATCTCATGGAGGCCACCTCACCAAACGACAACGACAGCACGGCTCAGCCAAAAGTCTCGGGCAAAGAAAAAACGAAAAACCTAGAGGTCTACACTAACCCCACCAGCTCCATAACATGGAAAACCACCATGAAGACTCCCATCCATCGCCAGATCTCTAGTATCAGCTATTAATACAGATAATGGCTCCAAAGAGCTTCCACTTACGGGCTCACCATAGCCTGTGGTACTGGAACTTCATGTTCTGAGTAGCTGAATCTAAAGAACAACAACAACAAGAGTATTTTCTTATCACTTGAGAATGAACCATGTAGGTTCGAAACGTTGTGCAATTTTATAATAAGTGTAATACATTTTATAGTTATTTGCTTCATTTTCTTCACCTCGGAAACGAACATGACTTTTGGAGAACTCCTCCTCCAACTAAACCCTGATGCAAGAACACTAGCTAGAGGGATAGTAGCCCTAAACCAGACAATAGTTAATGCAGAATATGCTGTCATATTCAGTGCCTATATATATATATATATATAGAAGAAAACACAGTCAAATAAATGATCTAATAAGTTTGAAAAGGCAGAGCATTCTTGTCCATATCTGATATATATTTTAAAACTAATTTCCTAGTTTTCATCTTTCTACTTTTCTCCCCGATGTAAACCATGCCACAGGTCTTATTAGGACATTTATCAACCCTGAACACTCTGCATTGTCTTTTTTGAGGCAATAATGAACTATTTTCTGGTTGATAGGATAATAAACACTTATTTACTAGTTAGTGAAATACTTGTCACTTGTCTAATAGTTGGCGAAAATATAGGGCATTCACCTACAATATTGGGCACCTGCTAACTGTTATTTCAAATATGGGTGACTTATCTACTAGCAAATATGAGAGCCGGAAGCTCACCTTCCAGGTCGAGAATGCCATCAGGGACGAGCTGGTCGAAGACGTGCTTCCACGACTCCTCAAAGAGATCAATCACTAAATTGCTTCGCATCGATACTTCCGCGTTGAACACCAACCCTGCGGAAGACTTGACTGAGTTAGACATTGCTTCTCTTATCTTCTCCATTCGCTTCCTATTTTTTTGCTCCCATTAAAGGTCAGTGATTTACTATTCACCAATTTATCAACTGGAACTAAGGGATGATGATGGGGTGTAAATACACGTGTTACCGACGTACCGTGGAAGGTGTCGTGGTGGATGGTTGAGATCAGGTTGTGGTCTGCGATGACGGTCTTCAGGGTCTGGCTCGGGGTGGCGATGGTATACTCGTTCAGGTCTGTGAGCTCGTTCCCTTGTACATCAATTGTGTTCAGGTAGTGCAGCTGCATAAATAGATTAGGTGGGAGCACATCGAGATTAATTCTTCCGATATAAATTTCTTGCAGTGAGGTTAAATCATCGAAATTAGTTAGCTGTAAGTTTGCGTTGCCGCTAACGCTGAGGACTTCTATGGAGGAGGACAGGATGGACGGCAGCTGGGTAAACGCGTTGTCATCTAGGATCAAAGTGGCCAGTTTCGGATACAATGTAATCACCTCAAATGGAAACGAGTATAGGTCGTTGTTTGCAAGGTTCAGATAATTAAGAAGATCTTGGGAGTCGGTGAATGTATGATCTTCAATCACTTTAAGCTTCGTCCCTTGAATGATGATTCGTTCAAACGAGAAACCTGTGAACAATCCTGTTTCGATTGCATTTATATCGTAATTAGGATCACTAGGATCCTGTACAATTCTCAGCTCCAAAAATTGAGTGTAAGGAAATACAGAACTAAATACTCTTGCCAACTCTTCATTACTAGTCACAAGAGAGCAGTCAAGTTTCATATCATAATCTTCGGTAATGCTGCAGGTACACGGCGAAATCGCTGCATCGTCCGGGCAGGGCCACTCTCTAGGCTGAGGGTTCGAGCCCTGGACGGGGTTAACCAAGGAGGGAGTGACATCCCCCACACCAAGGACCACCACCACACACACCACCACAATCTTCAACACCATCTTACGGCCTCTGTGTCGCAGTCAGCAAGGTGGCGTGTGCTGGTCCACAGCTGTTCTTATATTACACCAGCCTTATCTTATCGCCAGACTTGTCCACAGCTGTCCTTATACTCCTCCAGCCTTATCATACTGCCAGGAAGGGCGCGATGGTGGCGCCAGGGAGCCCTGGATATGTGCAGGCATCAGTAATAATGCATGAGGTTGTCCTTTTTGGCAAGACTTAGGGCCTTATAATTTGGTCATTGATTTTTCGCTCTCCAAGGCACGAGTTGCAACACAAGGGTCACAGGCTGTATATGTTGTGATCATCAGATGCTGGTCAGGAGCCAATGATATAATGAGTATTTTCCTCTGGGTCGCCACACTAAGGCGCTGGAAATGGAAGATGGCTGATTTTAGGTCACTCGTTGTGTTGAGGAGTTTTGTAACTTTAGAAGCAAGTGTGTTTCTTGGCACGTTTTCTTCAGAGAGCTGAAGTTCCAGGTTTTACAGGTATACAAATTGATTTGCCGATCCAAATCCTCATACGTATTTGATTAAGACATTTTCGTGAGCGTGAGAGTTCCACATGAAATACCTGTGCTGAGGCAGATGCAATCATACAACTATCTTGTATGTATACAACCAGCTTGTATGCATACAAGCACTTTTGTTTGCACAAGAATTATACTTGCACTCCCACACTAGATGCCAGCTCTTCTTTAATGCGTGTGACTATAACCATCTGGCCAACAGCAGGGTTTGCAGAATAACAGGTCCCTTGATAATCTAGGTCTAGAAAACTTAGTTTTCTCTCCAAAGGAAAGAAAACTAGGTTTACTTACCTCGTGGTACTGGGCTGCGATGAAGTTTCTCGTGATGATGTTATTTTGTATTGTCCTGCATGCTGTTCTTTGGACTATCAACAATTCAGAATAAATAGTCCTTATTCGCCATCTTCTGCCTGGTTCCTAACACACATGAATTCAGTGATGACTAGTACAGGGAAATGGAGTGCTAGTACGATTTGGAATGTTGGTCTAAGCGTAGGCTTATTGCAGACAAGATGACTGCCTAGACAATTTTTTGTATGGAAAGTGCTCATGGATGTGAGACGAGCATAATCATGAGGCGTTCATGCAGATTCAGACAATAATACAAGTTCTCAATGATGGAGTTGATCCAGTTGGATTGATTTTAGAGCATAATTCGGGCGGGTTTCTTTTGAATAAATGCAAATATGATGTTTCTCTTCCTTCGCAATCAGCGTTTCGGGAGGAAATGGAACAAAGGTTTCACAAAATCCACGTATATACTGTGCTACGGTATAACTAGACCTTGGTAACATACAGCTAAATATGTGATCAGTGAGACACTTCTCTCAGGAGTCCTGAGCGAGCGGCCATGACACCTTGCCCACACAGTCAGCTTCATAGGATTTGAATTTAGCTACTGACTCCAAGCTCCCAAATATCATTTAGTGTTACATTATTTTCCCAGACAATTGAAATTGGTTAATAGTAAATAATGCCAATATTAGGAGCCACTGGAGGACATTGAGCAAAATATTAAATATGGCAAAATATTAAGTAAGTTGGTATACCTACATGCCAGGATGGCACCAGCCCTGTAGTGATGCCTTTAGTCATTGACTGTGAATGCTTCTCGCCAGCAGACTTCGCATGTGACCTCGTGCAGAGTGAAGGCACCCTGGCAGATCCTCACCACCTGCCATGACTGCAGAAGTGTATAATTGGATGAGAGTGAAAGTGTTTACGAACCGGTAACTATAAGTACAGTACATCTTGTTTTTTTTTTTAGAAGCTGAGTGATTGCGTGTGTAATTATCTCTCGCGAGATGACCTCTACGAGTGTACCCAGTGGCACTCGCCCAGGGAAATACCTGTAACAGGTGCGGATTACAAGTACAAGGACGAGTACGTGAAGGCGTTGACACGCTTCACTGGAGACTTATGTCACCTGAGTGTCGCATTCAGCAGTGGGTCGCGGAAGGAAGCACATGCACTTAACATAAAGTTGGGACGTTGATAATTCTATGCAGGTGTCTGATTAACTTCGAACTTTATTGATTGATTTCGAATGCCACGTGTACAACCTGATCATTTAGATTAGAGCCCCGTGGGTCCCTTAAAATTACTGCAGTGATCACGAAGAAGAGTTGAGTGATTGGGAGTCAGTACAGTGTTAAGCAAGGCTGATCTTTTGGAAGAATTTCCGTCGTTCATTTCGACTAATCACATGTCCCTCTGATCAGATTAGATTTGTATGACCCAAATGCAAAGTAAAGAAATTCTAATGTATTAGTGTTAAGTTTAATGAATAAAAGTGTTAACTATTCGACACGTTTCATTGAAACTTTCTCCCATTATAGATCTTGCGAATCCCTTTCATGTCTTAAAATGACACTTGAAATGACACGTGCTAATCACGTAACTCAAAATTTGTCATGTACACTTCATTGTTCTCCCTGCCGAAGAACTATTTTGGAGAACACAAGCTCAAGTGAGATCACTGACTCTGGAACACTTGTTTGAGGTGGCTATCATCTGTGAGGACCTTTCCTCGAGGAGTTGACCTTAGTAAGCGTGTCACTGTTCTGAAAATAAACTATTCTAGGATAACCTCTGCTAGCTGTCTGCCCTAGGCGACATTACAGACAGAAGTAGTCTAGAAATCTTAGGCCCCACCCAACATCGGTATCTGATTACAAACTGGAAGTCGCCCACGACTTAGTGTACCTGGGTTCCACAATCTCTGACAATCTCTCTCTTGACCTGGAGCTCAACAAACGCATCGGTAAGGCATCTACAACCATGTTCAGTCTGACAAAGAGAGTGTGGACCGACAATAAGCTGACCGAGTACACAAAGATCCAGGTTTACAGAACCTTCGTCCTGAGCACTCTCTTATATGGCACAGTCCTGGACACTTCGCGCCCGACAGGAAAGAAAGCTGAACGCCTACAACATGCGCTACCTGGGAGTCTACCTGGGGCTGCCGTGCGGTGTTGACGTGTTGTTTGACCACTCCGGCAGTTTGGGGTAGTTGCCGTTTTCACCAGCATGGGGTGTGGGTGTCTCTACCCTCCCTGCTGTTCCTGGTGGTGGGGACGTGGCGTGTTTTGCGATGGACAGCCCTATTCCCGCTGTCGTGCGGTTAAACTCCATCGGATTGGAGTTTACTGGCCGTGCTGGTTACCCGCTGGTGGACGTGATATTGAGTGACATGCTTCGTGTCCCGGTTGGGGACGTATATGGTGTTGAGCTGGTCACTGCTCACCGTGTCATCATCAAGTTTGTGGGTGAGGCGGTGTATCGTGCTTTTCTACGGAGGTACGAGGGACGTACTTTGCAGCTGCAGGATGGCGCAGGGCCTGTGATCATTTCGGACCGTAGTGGTGCTGTGACGTATGTCAGTGTCCATGGCGCCCTCATGGAGTTTCATGAGACTCTCCTCCGGCTATTCTTCCATAGGTACGGCTCCGTCATCAGTGTGCGGATGAACTCCCTGTCGTCTGTCACGTATTCGGGTGTGAAGACCAACATTCGGACCCTCGGGATGCGACTGAGGTCGGACATACCGTCCTCTGTCCGGCTGTTGGGGTACTACGTGCGGGTGTTTTATGTCCGGCAACCCCGTACAGTACTTGCTTCCGGTGTGGCTTGTTGGGGCATCAGGCTGCCGGGTGTACTGCTGATTCGGTCGCTCCTGTGAACTTGTTCCGTCAAGAGGATTTCCCGCCGCTGCCTCTGGAGGAGGACTCCGGGGGTGAGGAGGTGAGCGTCCCGTTCGCTGCTGAGGCCCTCCCAGCGTCACCCGACGTTCCCCCGGTTGTCGCAGACCCTCCTCCGGGTGTTGCGGTGCCGTCGGATGTTCCTCCTGACCAAGTCTCTGGCCCTGCCGTTCCCGTGGACCTTCCTGGTGATCCCTGTGGAGCGTCGCCGTCTGCTTCCTCGTCTTCAGCTGTGGAACCTGGCCCTGTGTCCTCCCCTCGGGTCCCTCCTGTGCTGGGTGCTGGGGTGGCTGCGCAGCCTCCTGCTGTGTGTGGTCCGGTTCCCCCTGTGGTAGAGACTGCTGCCGTTTTGCGTCGGGTGTCGGTTCGCCGGCTGGTGGTGCCCGTGTTTCTGGGTCAGCTTCCGGCTCTGACGATATTCGGCCGGAGCCCAAACGTTCCAGGCGTTCGTCGTCCGCCTGGGCCGATGTTGGGGATTTTAGTGACTGTGGATCCTGGGATGTGGACGGTGTGGGTCCGAATGCTCCGTTGGCTCCACGGTTAGTGGAGGTGGAGGTCCATGTGCCTGTTGGTGAAGGTGGTGACGGTGGCTGTGTCTCGTGTGCGCCTTCTGCTCCTCCACCGGAGGGCTCTCCGCGGTGGGGGGTAGTGGCTTCTGCTGCCAGGGATGCTGGTGCTGGACGTGGTCTGGTGGTGACTTTGCGGAAGGATCCGCGGCGATCGGATTCCCGGCTGTCGTCCGACGGTGTGCCCGTGGCTGCTGGTGCCCTCTGTACGGGTCCGTGCTCGGAGGATGTGCATTGGGGACCTGGGGGACGTGATGCCGGAGTCTGAGTTGCCGCAGAGTCACTGGAAGAGGATTGCTATGTTACCGTTATACGAGGAGCCGCGGAACTTTCGTGACGAGCCTGCCTTCGTGTGGGAGCGTGTGCCGATCACTCGCCTCCGGTGTAATACCATTTGGATCCCCTGTTTGCGGATATTTGTTGCCAGGGTTCCGGATGAGATGGCGTCCCCGGTGGATGGTCTCGACCCTTGGCGGTGGTTGCATTGGGAGGCGTTTAATGTCCGGTTCCCTAGGAGCTTATTTCCGGACAAGTATGTCTCCTGATTTCCTAACTTGTGTGTTTCCTCTTGTCCTGTGTGCCCTCATGGCTGCTTGTTTGCCTTCGTGTAGTTTGTGCCGGTGCCTCTCCTTTTGTTTGGGGCGTAGCAGGTAGTTTGGTGTGAGTTTTTCTTCCTGTATTCATTTATTGTGTTATTTCTTTGCCCTATGTGTTATATTCATGCTTTACGTGTTGTGATTGGTTGTTGTATGTTGTGATTTTTTATGTATTTACCTGTTGTTCATAATGTTGTGCGGTGTTGTCGGTCCTTCCGGCTGGTGAGAGTGTTTTGTTTTGTTTTTTTCCTGCTACGTGCTTTATAATGTTACTATGTTTTATTGTTTTCTTTGCCATGCTTGCTTGTTTGTACATTATTTTCTGTTTTGTCTTGCTGTGTGTATCTCATGCTTCCATTGTTACCTTCTCCGGTTTTGGTAATTGTTGTGCTGGGCTGTCGGTCCTTCTGGCCGCCGGTTTCCTGTTTGTTGTGTACTGTTTCATGTATTGTTTTATTGTATTTATTGTTTTTCCCTTGCATGCTTGCATGTAAAAAATAATAATAATAATAATAAAAAAAAAAACATGCACTACCTCCGACACATCTTGGACATCACCTGGCAGGACAATGCTCTGTCTCGGGTACGTGGTGCGAATGGGCGACGGCAGGATCCCCAAGGACCTCCTGTACGGAGAGCTGACTCAGGGAAAACGTTCAACAGGCAAACCTCAGCTACGGTACAAAGACGTGTGAAAGAGGGCCCGGAAAGCCATGGACGTCGATCTCGCTATGTGAGGAAACACTGGTCGTAGACCGATATGCCGGGAGGCAGTCTGTTCAGAAAAGTTTCTCCATGATCGAGGAGTCACTTTCCAAACAATCGGAGGCAAAGAGACAGAGAAGGAAAGCCGGTAGCCAGGAAGACAGACCAGAATCAGTCTTCGCTTATGCTCAGTGTGGGATGAATTGCTATTCCTAGATTGGCCTCATCAGTCACACCAGACGCTGCACCAGGACTGACAACCAGAGCGCAACTCCATAGTCTCCCGAGACTGAAGGATGCCTACTGCTAGTCTTGAAATAATGCAATCCTGCAGAGTAATACTACTTGGTCGATAGTTCGATGCCTGAAACCATTTCCCATTCATAAAAAAACAAGTGCCTTATTGACAACTTTTCACTATTCCAGTATTCAACTCAACTAATAATTCACTAAATGTACAAAACAGTGGTTGGCAAAGCTCATCTCTACATTCCCTCAGGACCTTGGCAAATAAATTGCTTGGTCCTTTGGCTTAAAGTTTTCGAATTATTAAATAGCTTCTTCCCTCTCCATAACTAATATAGTCACCTTATGCTCTTCACCGGCCCTATAAATATGTTCAACTGTAAATAATATAGCAAGTTGACCTACTGTAAACACCGAGAGTGGCTCATTGGCCTTCATGACTTTCATTTTTGAAGTTAGGCTTCGGTAGGGCCGCGCAAATCTGGTAATAGGGCTAAGACAGATGGAAAATGTCAACCCCATTTCAAACTGCCCATTTAGTATTCTTGTAATTACTACTAAATACAAATGTTTTAAGCATGGGTATATACATTTACTGTATATGATGTACTTACAAGTAACACATGTTATGATCCCAGGTAGCCTGAAGAACGAGTCTACCCCTATGAGAGTTATTCGACCTACTAGACCCAATTGAGAGGTCAAAGGAAATATAGATGTGCGAATATATATTAAATACTTGGCAAATGTCAATGAATGGTTTAAGAGCATTAACAGATGATGAATATGTAAATAACAGACATCACATGAGATGTCGAGATTTTGGTGGCAAGATGTGAGGCTAGCGAGACATCTTGGCCCCACTTGAGTTGCAACTGTCATCAGAGGTGGATGTACTGTGTTCATCTCCTGCAATGAGGAGGAATGTAGTCCCCTGTGTTAGTGCTGGAGTGAAGAATACTTGTCTGCAAGTGTGAAGAAGCTATTGGGGACTTAGTACTCCATTCCTCTGTGAATTAACTCTAACGCCTTCTTTCATGTCGACGTACAGGACGGTGGACTAGGAATTCCCGACTTTGCTACATCAATCCGCCTACTAAAGAACAAGCAGCTCTGGGCGATGGTTGAGTCGGAGGATCTAGTGGTAGTGGCAGTGGCTCTCCTACCCGCCTTCCTAGGGTGAATGCATCGATGCGTAGACCCGACTACGGCTGCTGGAAACCCTTCTAACAATACGTCTGAGCGTTCTAGGGTTTGGAAGGCAAAACTGTACAACATGGTTGATGGTGCCGGCCTTGCATCTGCTTGTGAGGTTCCATCTTGCCACAAGTGAGTTCGTGCGGAATCCGTCTGCTAACCGGAAGAGATTTTGCTCATGCCATCCAGATTAGAGAAAACACTGTAGCCACTCCGTCTAGAACTGCCTGGGATAAACCCGGGGCTTCTGGTCTCTGCGATGCTTGCCGGAGACCGGAAACTTTGGGCCACATATCCCAAGCCTGCTATAAGACGCATAACTCTCGGGTGAAACGTCATGACGATATCACCCGGTTTGTAGGTGGCCGTCTGTGGCAGAGAGGTTTTGTTGTTGAACCTGAGGTTCGTATACCGGAAGGAGGGGTCTTCTACGAGCCTGACTTCATTGCTTACAAAGGTGACGAGGCCTTTATATCGGACATCCAGGTCTCTTCTGATAACTTTCCACTCTCCCGTCCACATCAGAGCAAGTGCGACAAATACGGCACCCCAGAGATCCTCCAACAGGTCAGGCCATATACCGGTAAGCACATAGCATCCACCTCTTCTATCACCCTAAACTGGAGAGGTGGATGGTGCAAGGAGAGTGCGCGTGGGCTATTGGATATGGACCTCACCAAGAGCGACCTTGAGGTTTGCTCTGTGAAATCCTTAACCCTGGACGTATTCCCTCGACAGAAGATGACCCAAGTCCACACTAAGGGGCAGACCACCTTAGCCCCAGGATCACCGTGCAATGGGTGCACATGGGTGTAATATAGTCGTGAAGGGGAAACCCATTATCAGGATAGCTGGTAGCTAACTACCTATGTAGGGTCGTCATCAAGGGGCACCACTTTCCCAAATGGTTTCTCACAGGAGGGTGGATGACCTGACCGGAGCCCACAAGTGAGTATGGTGGCAGCCAGAGGGACCCCCATGTGTATACATGTGTATACATGATAACCCTCCCGCTCCGGGGCCTGGCGAGGAGCTTCCGCTGTGTATTGTTTTCCATATATGCTGTTATCATGTCACCAAACCTGCCGCTTAGGCAGCTTGTTATTTTGCCTTCAACTTTAGTTCTCTTTAATGATATACTGTGCACCTCTCCCTTTGTGTGCTGTGTCTTACATAAGAAAACTAAATACAAAAGATTTTTCCATTGTACTAATCCATTATCATTATCATCTTAACTCTTGTGAGTGTGATATGCCAACTAACCATTATTTTATGTATTTTAGTTTGTGATTGTTAGGGAAATACGTGCGTTTAGGGGTGCCTACCTCTCCCCATGCCTAGTGGTTGGCGGGAACAGGTGCCTTGAAGCTACATGAAAACCTTACACCCCCGAGGTGGTAATGGGAAGAAGGGGACAAAAGTTATGATGATTTCCGTTACTCATCACTGTCGTAGCCAGCATGATGAAGGAGGCATGGGGCATAGTACAACAGAACAATGTCATATATAAAAGGCATTTCGTGGGACAATTATATAATATGTGTATTTCCTGGTTAAGATATTTTTAAGAAGCCTTTGATAATCTTGAATACTTAAAACTTATTAGAAAATCACTAAACCGTCATATCTGCCACGTAGCTGCTGTTAGATACATCTTAATTTAAAATCTGTTCTACCAAAATTATTTTAATATTGAAAAAGACGAGTTCTGAGCTCGTCTGTATGGGTAATGAGGTGAAGCAGGGTGAGGTTTTCAGTCCAGTGTTATTCCCAGTATATATAGGGATCAACCCGTTGAGAGCATTCTGGCGTACAGAGTTGATGTCATGTTGACAACCTGTGTGTCATGTTGACGAGAGTTGATGTCATGCTGGCAACCTGTGTGTCATGTTGGCGAGAGTTGATGTCATGTTGACAACCTGTGTGTCATGTTGGCGAGAGTTGATGTCATGCTGGCAACCTGTGTGTCATGTTGACGAGAGTTGATGTCATGTTGACAACCTGTGTGTCATGTTGGCGAGAGTTGATGTCATGCTGGCAACCTGTGTGTCATGTTGACGAGAGTTGGTGTCATGCTGACAACCTGTGTGTCATGTTGGCGAGAGTTGATGTCATGCTGGCAACCTGTGTGTCATGTTGACGAGAGTTGATGTCATGTTGACAACCTGTGTGTCATGTTGACGAGAGTTGATGTCATGCTGGCAACCTGTGTGTCATGTTGGCGAGAGTTGATGTCATGCTGGCAACCTGTGTGTCATGTTGGCGAGAGTTGATGTCATGCTGGCAACCTGTGTGTCATGTTGGCGAGAGTTGGTGTCATGCTGACAACCTGTGTGTCATGTTGGCAACCTGTTACGGTGGCGAGAGTTGGTGTCATGCTGGCAACCTGTGTGTGTCATGCTGGCGAAACACATGATCACACAGCAACAGATATAGAACATGTCAGATTGTAACAGTTGAAGAGTTGTGGCCTTAGTACAACAAGTCGAACTGATGACCTGCTAAGAGGGTCTACACTATAGCCTTAATAAGGAAAATAAAGGAATTCACGTAAGATCTTAATAATTGATTCCATAATTTTTTTTTATGTTAGTCCAGATACATCTCTTAAAAATATATTTTTAATACGTACGTTTGGATCCATAAGATTTAATAACCTCAAATATATATATATACATTCAAGCACTCAATATATGGAGCTAATGCCTATGCATTCAGTAGAGAAGGAAGCCTCATATACTTATTGGAAAGGGAAGGCTCGTGTACTTCATAGAGAGAATAGGTTTACTTAACTTTCATTTTCCGAATATTAAATAATAATAATTAAGTTAAGTTAATTATATTATGGAAATCAAAGGGAAAATAATTGAATCTTTTGCAAAAACACTAAAAATAAAAATAAACATTTCTGGGAGTTCCTACTCCTAGAAATTATGTAGACACAAAAATAGAGTTAAATTATGAAGTTGTGTGACTGGTGTACCCCCAGGGTCTCCTGCAGCAGGTGTGTGACTGGTGTACCCCCAGGGTCTCCTGCAGCAGGTGTGTGACTAGTGTACCCCCAGGGTCTCCTGCAGCAGGTGTGTGACTGGTGTACCCCAGGGTCTCCTGCAGCAGATGTGTGACTGGTGTACCCCCAGGGTCTTCTGCAGCAGGTGTGTGACTGGTGTACCCCCAGGGTCTTCTGCAGCAGGTGTGTGACTAGTGTTTCTTGGGACCTTTTGGTGCGACTGTAGTATAAGCTGGACACTGGAGAGCGAAGTATGAAGGAATCAAAAAGTGGATGAGAGTTCCGTCGTAGCATTTGGTGGTGTCCGTTATAATGCTGAGATAAGGGCTGGGGTCGCTCGGGTACAGCCAGTGTATGTCACACCCACACAGCAGAGGGTTCCCTGTAACGACACATGCATGTAACGTAACGAGAAATGAAACTGCAAAGGGGTCTTTTGACCAATGTAAACACCCAACCCTTGTCTCGTATATAGCCTAGCAATCGTCGGGCCCAAAAATTTGTATGGGATATCGTCAAATGTTGTCACTAACTATTACAACTTTCAGCATTTGTTCACGTTCAAGGACGTTGAGGGAACGTATGAAGACCGTATTATTATTTATATTTTATTGTTATATTTATGAAGTTATATTCATTATCGAGACGTGTGCCTTGAGGTTATCTTGAGGTTATCTTGAGGTTATCTTGAGATGATATCGGGGTTTAGTGTCCCCGCGGCCCGGTCCTCGAGCAGGCCTCCACCCCCAGGAAGCAGCCCGTGACAGCTGACTAACACCCAGGTACCTATGTTACTGCTAGGTAACAGGGGGCATAGGGTGAAAGAAACTCTGCCCATTGTTTCCCGCCGGCGCTCGGGATCGAACCCGGGACCACAGGATCACAAGTCCAGCGTGCTGTCCGCTCGGCCGACCGGCTCCCTGACACACTATGTTGTTGTTGTTGAAGATGAAGCCGCCACAAGAGGTGGCACGGGCATGAATAGCCCGTAGGTGTTAGATGTTTGGAGTAATTGTGATCTTTGTCCTTGTGACATCTTGATTGTATCTGGGATCTCTGGCGCCCGCACTAGGTATATTCTCAAGGATATACTCGAGGTTTACCATATCTGCTTGGGTACACCTCACCTAGTGTGTTACTTATCAGGATACATCCCACATCAGTTGCTAACTCAGTACTATGTAGACCCAAACATGCTTTACAATACTATGGTCAACACATGCTAGCTTACAATACTATGGTCAACACATACTAGCCTTACAATACTATGGTCAACACATACTAGCCTTACAATACTATGGTCAACACATACTAGCCTTACAATACTATGGTCAACACATACTAGCCTTACAATACTATGGTCAACACATACTAGCCTTACAATACTATGGTCAACACATACTAGCCTTACAATACTATGGTCAACACATGCTAGCTTACAATACTATGGTCAACACATACTAGTCTTACAATACTATGGTCAACACATACTAGCCTTACAATACTATGGTCAACACATTCTAGCCTTACAATACTATGGTCAACACATGCTAGCTTACAATACTATGGTCAACACATACTAGTCTTACAATACTATGGTCAACACATACTAGCCTTACAATACCATGGTTAACATATTCTATCCTTACAATACTATGGTCAACACATACTAGCCTTACAAAACTCTAGTCGATAAATACTATCCTCGCTAACCTTACTAACCATCAGCCTTACAATACTATGGTTAACATATTCTATCCTTACAATACTATGGTCACTGGAGAATGGTCCAGGACGGACCGAAACGTCGTCGTCCCTTCAACTTCTAGTGTGTGGTCTGGTCAACATACTTCAGCCACGTTATTGTGACTCATCGCCTGCTTACTAACCACCTAATCACCTGGTTTCCCCTGACCTAACGGAACAGATACATGACCCACAACCCACCAAAGCTGGTTACCTACTTGAAAGATCAAGGGATCCAGAAGGCAATTGGTCGAGGATTGGCTTATAAAAAACCTCTTGCAAATAGATAATTTGGTTGCCTGCCAAACTCACGTGGGCTCCAGCCATCAGACCTGTGGAATAGGGAAGAGTGAGAATAGGAGGACAAAAGAGGACAATGCTACCAATTACTTTCTTCTCACTTCCCTATTTATCAACATTCGCTAGAAAATGTGTTTTTTCAATTATATTTAATTCCAATATTTTCTTCTCAATGATGAAATGTGTTTTGGAAGTACTGGGAGCAGTTGGTGTGGTAGTGGGAGTACTGGGAGCAGTTGGTGTGGTAGTGGGAGTACTGGGAGCAGTTGGTGTGGTAGTGGGAGTACTGGGAGCAGCAGGTGTGGTAGTGGGAGTACTGGGAGCAGCAGGTGTAGTAGTGGGGTACCGGGAGCAGCAGGTGTAGTAGTGGGGTACAGCAGGTGTGGTAGTGAGAGTACTGGGAGTAGCAGGTGTAGTAGTGGGGTACCGGGAGCAGCAGGTGTAGTTATAAGAGTCACAATAATAGAAGCAGTAATCGTAGAAGAGGTCTTTTAGTGAGAGCAGCTATAATTTTGGTAGTTAAGAGTAAAGTTGTAGCAGGAGGAGGAATGGTAGCAGCAGCAGTGGTGGTAGGAGGGGGAAGAAAGGTAGTGGCAGTAGTAGTAGCAATAGTAGTAGTAGTAGCAGTAGTAGTAGTAGCAATAATATTAGTAGTGACAGAAGTAGTAGTAACTCAGCAGAAGTAACACAAGTTGCAGTGAGTGTACATACTGGTATCAGTGACATTATTCACTGCAATAATATTATTCCTATTGTTGCTTCTCTCATTAATGTCCTCTTCTTATTCCTGATTTAGCAGGAATGCATTATCAATACAATAGTATCACTAACCTGAATCACTGGAACTTTAACGTATTTGTGGTAATAATATTGTCAGTAGTTGTAAAAACCACAGTTTAATCCATTTCAAAAGCATGAGTTTTCACGCCGAAAACTTGGCAAGCCTCGATGTAAGCTGACTGTTGATAGTTATAAGAGGCTGTTTGATGTGCAGTGCTTCTGCTATGTTTCATCTTTTAATGTTGCCTTATCTCTAATATATTAATATCAGTTTATTGTTTGCTGGTCGTATGTTATCACAGGTCTTATGATAGAACGGATTGTATGTTTCTGCATGTGTTGGATTTAGAAGAGAGTTATGTTAGTATGAGGCATATGTTAGTATGGGTCATATGTTAGTATGATTTATATGTTAGTATGAGTCATATGTTAGTATGAATCATATGTTAGTATGAGTCATATGTTAGCACGGTTGGTTTATTATTAGCTGAAGTCGTTAGTTAGCAGCAATCTAACTCAATTTCATTTTATTAAGTATAATAAAATGCATAAAAGACATTATAATTAAACTGGATATAATTCTAAATGTAAAATTCTTTATCAGAACTATAGCTTTCATCGTAACTTAAAATATCGATATTTTACGCTAAAAATTTACCATACTGATTTATACGAATTAAATTCCTTGGACGAAATAAATTTTAGACGAATGAAATTCCTTGAACGAATTCAATCTAACTTAACATTATTAAACATGACCTATGTTAATATTCTGCCTTTACTACGAAAACAATAAAAAGTCTTAAAAGGGTGAACAAGTTCCTTAATATCTATTTAAATTCATAACCAACTTCTCTTATAACCACTGTGTTCATGGTATGTTATGAGGTGCAGGTAGCGGTGTATTACTGTCAGTCTGGACAGTTAGTCGTCTATCAGCAGGTGGAGGTGTATTATTGTTAGTCTAGACAGTTAGTCGTCTATCAGCAGGTGGAGGTGTATTATTGTTAGTTTGGACAGTTAGTCGTCTATCAGCAGGTGGAGGTGTATTATTGTTAGTCTGGACAGTAAGTTATCTACGAACAGGTGGTTTATTATTATTAGTTTGGCCAGTTAGTTGTCCATCAGCAGGTGGAGGTGAACTATTGTTAGTTTGGACAGTAAATTACATATCAACAGTTCAAGGTGTATTTTTGTTTGTATGAACAGTAAGTTACGTATCAGCAGGTGAATGTGAAGAACACAGTCAGTATGCTGCAAGACGTCACATGGTGTGGCTCACCTTTTATAGAGTTGTAGTGAACGAGGTCGATTTTGTTATTGTCTAATGAGATCTGCAAAAGAGTTTCTCTTGGAGGGTCGAAGGTAAATTCGTTCACAAATGTCATCTCATTTCCCGACAGGTCAACAATGGCTACGTAATCCAGGTTCTGGAACACGTGTTGAGGGAACTCCTGGATGTTATTACGGGCCAAGCTGATTCTGCTTAGCATACTAGCATTATTGAAGACGTTAGCTTTGAACTGTAAATTGGAGTTCCCACTGACGCTAATGGATTGCAATGTTGTAGATACTATGTTTGGAAGGGTAATCAAATTGTTGTCATCTAGGATCAAATTAGCGAGTCTTGTATACAACTGAATCGTCTCGAATGGAAAATCGTATATGTCATTATTTGCAAGGTTTAGGTAGTTAAGGTGATTGTGTGAGTCGGTGAACACTTGCTCGTTCACCTCTTTAATCTTCGTCCCTTGGATAATGACTCGTTCAAAAGAAAGGCCTGCGAACACAAATGGGTCTAATGTGTTCAGATCGTAAGCATCATCATATGGATCCTGGACAATTCTCAGCTCCAAAAAATCCGTGAAAGGAAATATTGAGGTAAACACTCTTTGCAACTCAAGATTACTCTTTACACCAGAACAGTCAATTTTCAGATCAGTTTGCTGGTTCGAGGTGCAGGTACAAGGCAGAAAGTCCGTCTCGTCTGGGCAGGGCCACTCTCGAGGCTGAGGGTTCGAGTCCTGGACGGGGTTAACCAAGGCGGGAGTGACATCTCCCACACCAAGGACCACCACCACACACACCACCACAATCTTCAACACCATCTTACGGCCTCTGTGTTGCAGTCAGCGGCTGTCAGCAAGGTGGCGTGTGCTGGTCCACAGCTGTTCTTATATTACACCAGCCTTATCTTATCGCCAGACTTGTCCACAGCTGTACTTATACTCCTCCAGCCTTATCATACCGCCAGGCAGGACACGACGGTGGCGCCAAGGTGCCCTGGAAGTCCGCTAAATATACATAATATGGACTCACTTTTGCCTTACCTCCGGTAGCAGGTAATAATTATCTGTTCTGTAACCTGAACTAAATATTTTAATGAAATATTTGTGAGATAACTTGTTAGTGTAGTTTCTTTGTGTTGAAATGATTGTATATTTGTATTAAGGATGTCTGGAACAGACAACTATTAGATGTTAACATAAATGACCTGGTGAAGAAATTTAAAAATTAAAATATCCCAGATTTATATATTTTTGTTTTTTTCAAAATTAGGTTTTAAGCATGCGACGTCCAGTGGACAGCATCGTTCTAGAGCCAAACTGTGGAGCAATAGCTTCCTATGGGAATAATGCTGATTATGATAACAGCTGTTATCCTGATCGGCTACGAGTCAATTCCAGATCAATTCTGGGAGAGGTTTACACCACTTAGACAGCTCCAAAATCAATCTTTGGTTGAGATTGCCCGTAAATAATACCTGATAAACAAGTGGCTAGACTCTTAAAAAATATAAATTTAGACAATAAATATTTTATTCTAGTTGACAAATTTATCTCGTGTGCACAGACAAACGTGGCACTTTATTTGGCTGAAAATTCGTACATGGACATCTTTGAGTTGATTCGTATTATTGATGTATATGAACTAATTTACACAGTTTCTAAGTCACAATATAATTTATCCTTTACCTTTAAGCACAATCCATCCCAGAAGAATTCTCAGCAAACTCGGAGCAAACGGTAACTTGCTTCTCCTGAGGACCATATGCAGGGTCAGAAGAGTGTGAAACCAAATTTCAGACTTCAAAAAAATATTCCAACTGCCAATGTCAATGGCGTGAAATATGAGAGGGAATTTCTTCACACTAAATTATGCCCAGAGTCCTAATAATGTGTACGACGGAGAGTCGGTAATTGGTTATTTTTTAATATTGGGACATATGAGCTGTGAACGTGGAAAGTATGAAAATTGGAGAACCACTTGGACCGTCGGGGATCGAACGACGATTTGCAAGAGGCAAGGATTCGTTGTACCAATCAGTTCAAATGGTTGAGTTCAGTGGGAGAGGGAAAACACACATTTCATGTTAACAGGCTAAACAAAGTAGAGTTACAGCAGCTGTACATAGCACGTTAACAGACACAAGCTCTATTAGAGAGATAACAGAGAGAAAGTCTAGAACGAAAAACATTGTCCAGGGGACAATGATAACTGTGAAATTGTACCTGACATTCGCCAGCCCCATTTTGGAATTGGGTTGTGTATATAATACTTACGAAAATTGCTAAACCACTTTCAGGATAACCAGATAAGACACTTGCAACATTCATCCCGTTCTCGCTATATGACAAGCGCCAGTTTTGAAGCAGTTTTTGCATAACCACAAGAATAGGAACCGCTACATCCTTCCTAACCCATCAATAACGATGCTAATATGTCCGAGGAGGCGTCAATATGGCTGTGCTACAAATTTAGTTAGTACACCCTAATTTGAACGATGTAGTTGATAGAGTCAATATTGCGATGCAATAAGTATAAGGACAGGTTGCAACATCATGTCTCCTCCTCCGCACTGCTGGGAGGCAACAGCCCTACCCAACGGGGAAAGAAGAACATAGGTTCATGTCTCTAGGATTTCCCATTAGCTAGAATATCCTAGCAAGGAAATAAACAACGTTCCCTAGCTCGGGCTGCTAAGGCCAAGTATCTAGCGATGCAAAATTTATTGACTTTTAAACTCGTCCAAAGAAAATATCGCTAAAAAGCTTGAGAAGCAATGTGTTTGAAGCAGTCCTTCTCCCTGGCACCGGACTTAAGCTTATTCTACATCTAACAACAACTTCTTAGTCGCAAGTTTGAGGATCAGGTAGTGAGGCCGGTACTTGACGGAGGATCAAGTAAGGAGGCTGGAGCTTGACTGAAGATCAGGTAAGAAGACTGGAGCTCGACTGAAGATCAAGTAAGAAGACTGAAGTTTGACTGAGGGTGGAGATAATCTCACCCTCTTGAAAGGGATTCACTGACTCTCTGAAGTACCAAGTGGGTATTAGGTACTACGAGTGATATACAATGACTGCTTGGTTGTAATGGTGATGACTGTGGCACGGTGGTAGTGAAGACGACGATAACCACACCACACGGGGTTACGTGCAAGTAGTATGATCAGATCCGTAGCGTCATCTCGCGGCTCTTGGGGTGGAGGAGCCAGGGGGTGTCGTGGTTCAGTGTGTGTATGTTCAGGTGATAAGCCTCCTGCCGCGTTGTGAACCTCCAGCTGCTGGGCCCCACCTGGCCTCGCTCACACCCCCACCTCCTGCCTCCATCTTCCCCTCCCCCCCCTCGGTGTGGACTATTCCCAGCCCTCATTACAGATTAAAATAGATACTTATGAGGGGAAAACGCTATGCAAGTGTGAATATAGAGCATTATCTGATAAATATTAGGTGAAATGTAGAATAATGAGATAGTTCGCTAGAAGTTAGGTTGGATCATTAGTAACGCTCTAGAAATAGAAGGTATAATGTATATAATGTTAAACATTGTGTATCACAGATAAGACGTACCCCAGTGAAGGAACTTGGAAAGGGTCATTGTATTTATGCTCACGCTGACCTCAATTCTTCCTCGATCATTAGTTCTTAACCTCGTAACTTCTAAATAACGTCCAACGTGTCCTCTTAACAACCTGCGGTATAAAAATTACTTGACAAACGTTGGTCAATGTTGCACACACTGATAATCACTGTCATGCCTCTACAATACTCAATGTTTTAGAGATCAGTGCTGGAGGTATTGTGGTGTTGACACGTGGTGTTGAAGGTGTTTATTGTGGTGGCGTTGGTCATGGTGTTGGTGTTTGCTAGGTGGACCATCGGGGGATCGAACGATGACTCCGCAAGACATAAGGCCGTCTACGTACCGACTAGTCCCAGTGGTCAAAATATAAAACCTGCCTCCTCTTATATCCACTTTTTCCTTTAGTTCATGACTGTATACTAACGACTAATGATTGTATACTAACTACATGTACATTGTGTATTGTCTCGGTCTTCAGGAAAGTTTACCTTTGTCTCGGTCTACGCAAGAATTTACTCTTGTCTCAGTCTTCAGGAAAGTTTACCCTTGTCTCGGTCTACTAAAGAGTTTACTCTTTTCTCGGTCTAAGAAAGTCTACCATTGTCTCGGTGTATGCAAGAGTTTACCTTTGTCTCGGTCTTCAAAAGAGTTTACTTTTGTCTCAGTCTTCATAAGAGTTTACTTTTGTTTCAGTCTTCATAAGAGTTTACTTTTGTCTCGGTCTTCAAAAGAGTTTACTTTTGTCTCAGTCTTCAAAAGAGTTTGTCTTCATCTCGGCCTAAACGTGAGTTTACTATTATCTTAGTCGCCACAGGAATTTACCCAACTGCCTTCAGAAGAGTTTCCCCCCAAGTTTTGTTCCACAATAAAATTTGCCATTTTCTCAGTCGACAAAAGAGTTTACCCTTATTTCGTGCAACACAAGAGTTTACCCTTGTCTCGGTTTGCACAAGAGTTTACCTTTCTTGTCTTGGTCTTCACAAGAGTTTCCCCTCTTCTAGGTCTACACAGAAGAATTTACCCCTTGTCCCCGTCTACAAAGGAGTTTACCCCTTGCCCTGGTCTACATTGAAATTTGCCATTTTCACGGTCTATGAAAGTAAATACCCTTGTTTCGGGCAAGACAACAGTTTAATAACAATTTTCTCGGTCTATAAGAGAGGTTTACCCTTGTTTTGGCCTACACAAAAGTTTACCTTATCTCAGCCTTCATAAGAGTTTATCCTGGTCTAGACTACACAAGAGTTTACCATTAACGCAATCTACAATAAATATTTTGTCTCGGTCTACACAAGAGTTTACTCTTTTCTCGGTCTTTACAAGAATCTTGGTCTTCACAAGAGTTTACCCTTGTGTCGGTCTACACAAGAGTGTACCTCTGATTGTGACTGTAGAAGAGGCATCATCAGACGATAGATAGCTTTGAGCTATGGAAATTCTTCGTCTCCAAACAGTGATTAAAAATCAACCAGAAATCGCGCACTTAGTGAAACGTGGCAAAATATTACCGTAGACTTTATCGGGTTTCTCTATGACATTTTCGCCTCTGCATGACTATCCTTCCTGTGTGATGGGGATTTTTAGCATCACGTAGCTAGTTTATTGACACACTCTATACTCCCCTTCATATAGTCTAGGATAGCTGCACAAATGCAGATGTATCTAATTGTGTTAATAAAAAAAAAAATAGTTTTCTTGATATCCTCGTAGCGCATTCAACGTTTTCTAGCGTACACTACTGATCACAAGGTTCTGTATGATTAACCCTCCTACGAGGTGGGGATTTTTTTTAGCACCAAATTGTTTAGTTCTTAACACGCTACGAAACCCTTCGTATATTCTAGGGTTAACTACATAAATGCTTTTGTACCTCGTTAATTAATTGTTTAGTTACCCCTTCTGCAATATGCATTACTATGTAAGGATAAGGATAATGGCGAACAATAAACCAGCCGCTACTAGCGGCGACAATCAGCCTTATCTGATTGGCCAATTACAGTTCCAAAGCGCCAGTCCTCATTAACAGATATCCTGTTTTCCCCGAGATGTTATTCAACCATCGTCCGTGTTTATCAGTCTTTCCCACAGGCACCTAGAACTCTTCCCTCCGACCCGCACACAACCGCCCTCACCCAGCTTACTCATCTCTCACAACTTCATCATCAACACTACAACACTTTTAATTTCTGTAACATCTTGAATGATGTTGTAATTATCGAGACATATCATGTAACAATCAAATAAATGTGAATTGTATGTGGATATATAATTGGGGCGCTGATCCGACTACATCAGATGTAGACTAGGCGAATGGTGGGGGTAGTGATGGTTGTGTGAGTGATGGTGGAGGGGATGGTTGAGTGGGTGATGGTGATGGTGGTGACTGCAGGTGACGGAGGAGCGGCGACAGAGCCGCGTGGCACATCTCAGGCACTCACACAGAGAGTGCTCATGATAGGTGTTCTCGGAAGGTGACCTTTAGCACAGTTGTCAGTGTTTCTTGCTGCATTATCAAGTCCATGCGAACTTTTTATTGATAAGTCCCTTACCATCTTGCGCCGCACCCACGCCCACCTACGCAACTTTCAACACAAGTTGGTAAGGCGGGGCTTGGAGCTGAGACTCGACCTTGCAAGCACATCTAGGTAAGCACACACACATACACACACACAGGTGGAAACTGAGTACCCACATGAGCCACAGGGACGTTAGAAGGAACTTTTTCAGTGTCAGAGTAGTTAACGGATGGATTGCTTTAGGCAGTGATGTGGTGGAGGCTGACTCCATACACAGTTTCAAATGTAGATATGATAGAGCCCAATAGGCTCCGGAATCTGTACACCAGTTGATTGACGGTTGAGAGGCGGGACCAAAGAGCCAAAGCTCAACCCCCGCAAGCACAAATAGGTGAGTACAAATAGGTGAGTACACATACACACACAAAACACACACACACACACACACACACACACACACACACACACACACACACACACACACACACACACACACACACACACACACACACACACACACACACACACACACACACAGTTTGTAACAGCTATTCCTATCCTCACATCCCAGCCCTAATCCTATCCTCACATCCCAGCTCTAATCCTATCCTCACATCCCAGCTCTAATCCTGTCCTCACATCCCAGCTCTAATCCTATCCTCCCATCCTACCTCTAATCCTGTCCTCACATACCATCTCTAATCCTGTCCACATATCCTTTCCAAGTGTTGAATAGTCAAATTGTCCAAGCGCTTTCGCCTGATAACACCCTTACCTTACACGACTAAGGTGATGGGTAGAGTGAATCCCGTGGGTCGCAGGTCGGATCGCCGCCAGAGGTCACAGATAGGCTGCGGTAATCAGCTCAAAAGTTGTTATGGCCGAGGCGTCAATGACAAGGGAGTGACAAAAGCGGCACGATGAACAAGGCAGAGAGTTGTGAGTATATGTTAGCAGAGTAACCCGTAACTCGTGGAATTGGTCATTATGCCAATTACAGGTCGGTAGAGGAAAAGCCGTGGTTCGCCGTTCGATACCCGATTGTCCAAGTGAATAGTTAACGTGTTTTTGCTCCGTGTCCTCATATCTGAGCTCCTTGTCGTCATATCTGAGCTCCTTGTCGTCATATCTGAGCTCCTTGTCGTCATATCTGAGCTCCTTGTCGTCATATCTGAGCTCCTTGTCGTCATATCTGAGCTCCTTGTCGTCATATCTGATATCTGAGCTCCTTGTCGTCATATCTGAGCTATATCTGAGCTCCTTGTCCTCATATCTGAGCTCCTTGTCGTCATATCTGAGCTCCTTGTCCTCATATCTGAGCTCCTTGTCCTCATATCTGAGCTCCTTGTCGTCATATCTGAGCTCCTAGTCCTCATATCTGAGCTCCTTGTCCTCATATCTGAGCTCATATCTGAGCTCCTTGTCCTCATATCTGAGCTCATATCTGAGCTCCTTGTCCTCATACCTGAGCTCCTTGTCCTCATATCTGAGCTCCTTGTCCTCATATCTGAGCTCCTTGTCCTCATATCTGAGCTCCTTGTCCTCATATCTGAGCTCCTAGTCCTCATATCTGAGCTCCTTGTCGTCATATCTGAGCTCCTAGTCCTCATATCTGAGCTCCTTGTCGTCATATCTGAGCTCCTAGTCCTCATATCTGAGCTCCTTGTCGTCATATCTGAGCTCTTTGTCCTCATGTCCCAACTCTTTGTCTTCAAATCCCAGCTCTTTGTCCTCAGCTCAACTTTCTCACTAATAATTAGTTAACCTCGCCTAGCCGCCTCACAGCTACAACACACAACACAACACTTGTCCTCGCCGAGGGTATCCAACATCACTATTAATTTACAACCCGACTGTTTTGTTTACTAGTTACGCCGTCATCATATCCTAAGTAATAAATTTTTAAGGATTATTGTTTAGGAATCCATGGCTAAGAATAAGCAATAATATATAATGAATAACAATGAAAGTTGTCTTCAAGGAAAAGTCACCAATGACAGTTAAGTAGATGTCGCTTTCCTCGAAATTGAGCTTCTGAAGGAAGCGGAAGATATACAGAATATTCAATTGCGTTTGTACTAAAAACATAGGAAGCGTTTCCTGTGTTGCTTCAGAAGGAAGAAGAAACTGCCTGAGTCACCCTTCAGGCTGACTTCATTCTTGAAGAATAATAAAAAGGTCTTCAATGCCGAAGTGAAATTTCCTCGAACGTCAGAAGAAGGAATAGTGTACAGCATAATAATAATCAAATTCAAGAAAATATTAGCCAAGTTGTACCTCACTCGCGAGACGTTATTAGGAAGCTCATACACCAACCGAGCTCAAGCACTCAATGACAACCTCAAACTCATTGTGTACCTCACTAACAACACTCACGTCAACACACTCGATGAAGCGAAGATTAAAAATATATCAAATGGATCTTCCATTGAGTCCCCCCAGGCAGGCACTAGCTAGATGAACACCACCAACGACGAAGACACTGTATAGGAGGACGACACAATCACAATGTTGAGTGAGAGAGAAGCAGAAACCGACTTCCCTGAACCCCGAGGCCGTCTTGGCCAACAACACCAGGTTACTGCAGACAGTTCTGATCGCTATAGTTAACACTCGCAGCTGCCTGATGAAGAAAATACGGTTATGATGGAAGAAGAGACATAAACCTCTCCTTAGAAGATTAAGACTGTAGTTATGAGGGATCAAGAGTGTTAAACCTCCCTTTAGAAGGTGTTTAAGACTATAGTTATGAGGGATCAGCAGTGTTAAACCTCCCTTTAGAAGGTGATTAAGACTTTAGTTATGAGGGATCAGCAGTGTTAAACCTTCGTCTAAAAGGAGATTAAAACTATAATTATGAGGGATAAAGATAGTTAAACTTCCGCCTAAAAGGAGATAAAAACTATAATCGTGTATGACTAGGAAAATCAAACTTCCTAGGAGATAAAAGCTATAATTATGAGGGATCAGGAAAATTAAACCTCTCGCTATGAGGAGATGAAAGATGTAGTTATGAGGGACATTGGCTGCTAAACAATTCCTTTCAAGGAGATGTTCTATAATACAAGTTTAACAGTCACTAGTTGATGCTTCTGAGGAAAATATTATATAGTCTTATTTTCTACTGAAGCTGCTACGAAGTCTTTTCTGCATGACGCACCCACTTGGGCTGGACGGTAGAGCGACGGTTTTCGCTTCATGCAGGTCGGCGTTTAATCCCCGACCGACCAAGTGGTTGGGCACCATTCCTTCCCCCCCGTCCCATCCCAAATCCGTATCCTGACCTCTTCCAAGTGCTATATAGTCGTAATGGCTTAGCATTTTTTTCTGATATTTACCTTGCTGACTATTCACCAATCGTTTCACATCCAATTATTTGTGGGTGCGCAGGATCGATCATTCCATAATTCAAAGCGTCCTACTCTATGTTCAGCGTTATACAAACAATATTGTATTAGACAAGCTTAGGTTAGGTTAGGTTAGGTTAGGTTAGGTTAGGTTAGCTTAGGTTAGGTTAGGTTAGGTTAGGTTAGGTTGGGTTAGGTTAGGTTAGGTTGGGTTAGGTTAGCTCAGGTTACCTTAGGTCCCCATGTGCCAGTTTCTTGCCTTGACATCCCAGGTTCTTGCTGTAATATCCCAGCACTTATCCTCATATCCTAGCTCCCGGTCCTTATATTCTAGCTTCTTGTCTTCATATTCCTTTCAAGTGCTATGTAGTCATACTGGCTGTGCTTTCTCCTGATACCTTATCAAGAAATTCTTCTTATTCCTTGCCTTTGCTTATTCAGGAATTGTATAAGGAAATACACATAACAAGGAAGAACAAATTTCCCGGGAATAATGTCGACATTCGCCAGCGAGAAACTCTGTTATCGTGGGAACTTCAGGAGAAGATATGATTAATGCGATAAGGCCAGCCGTAACTGGAGCATCGCAGACTGCAACTAGTCCTTCACCGCAGCTAGGAGCACCACAGTCAGTCCACCACCACAGCTAGGAGCATCACAGTCAGTCCACCACCACAGCCAGGAGCACCACAGCCAGTCCGCCACCACAGCCAGGAGCACCACAGTCAGTCCACCACCACAGCTAGGAGCATCACAGTCAGTCCACCACCACAGCTAGGAGCACCACAGCCAGTCCATCACTTCAATTAGGAGCACCATAGTCAGTCCTTCACCCAGCTAGGAGCACCACAGCCAGTTCATCACCACAGCAGCAGCACGACAGACAACAGCAACATGCTGTGCTGGTCTGTGTTGCTGTTATGCATCAAGCTTCTGGCAGCTGCCGCCCAGGACAGTGAGGAGCTACAGGTATAACTACCAAATAACTACTGTAACCATCTACACTACACGCAACCATCACTGTAATCACCTTCACCACATTACAGCCCCCTCATTGATAACAAACTCCAGCTCAGCAATATACAAGACTCTATCCTCACTAAGATTCTTCCAGCATATTGTTATTCTCTTGATAAAGTGTTGGAAGCCCCAGACTTACGAGAAACCTTGCTGTAACAAACTGCTTAACCCATATTAGTACCATAAATGTGTGTTGGTTCTGTCCAAGGGTGACGGGTGTGTCGGGGACGGTCATAAGAGTGTCCAAATAGGCCACTGTGCCGCCCCTGACAGGGGAAACAGGGTCGGCCACCGTGCCTCTCCCCTTTATGGGGTGGGGGTCAGAGCAGGCCCACACACACATTCATGTAGTCAGTGGAGATGAAACCTTTGGGACTGGGACAATTATTTATATTTTATTATTATATTGTTCATATATTTGTTACACACTAACTACAAAGTCATATTAGCTTAACATTTGCTCCTCATCAACGGCTATACACTAAAAGGACATCAGACAATTTTCTCATGACTTAAAAAAGTATCCCTGCTAACGGCGGGTTCCCCCATCCAGTAATGTATATTATTGGACAGTAAATTAAATATGTGTTTGTCTTTCCACTTCGACGCGTTGGTTCAGCGGGGCCATGTTTCTTGGAGATCAGCGTTCGATTCCCGATGGTTCAAGTGCTTGGGTACCGTTTTTTTTTATTACGCCCTATACCAGCTCACTGTTCTCATATCCCAGCTCCCTGTCCTAGTATCCCAGCTTCCTGTCCTAGTATCCCAGTTCCCTGCCCTAATATCCCAGCTTCCTGTCCTAGTATCCCAGTTCCCTGCCCTAATATCCCAGCTTCCTGTCCTAGTATCCCAGTTCCCTGCCCTAATATCCCAACTTCCTGTCCTAGTATCCCAGCTCCCTATCCTAGTATCCCAGCTCCCTGTCCTAGTATTCCAGCTCCCTATCCTAGTATCCCAGCTCCCTGTCCTAATATCCCAGCTCCCTTTCCTCCTATTCCTTTTATTATTAACTTTGTAGAAGAGAGGAATTTCATTATATTATATTATGTATCAAAGTTTAACTTAAGACCCAGAGGTTCTGCAAAACAATTTATACACATGATATTTTGACCTGTAAAACTGGTACTTTGATGTGGTTCCTTGTTGTTCATTCTCTGACCAGGACTCCTGGTGGACGGTCTGGTCAACTACACTGTTGGACACTGTTGCACACAGTTTGACATACGAATCACAACTCGGTTGATCAGATACCCATTGATGTTGTTCATCAAGTTCCTTGTTAACGACGAGAGCGGCCAGCTGGTTGTGATTATATTTACAAGGAGAACGGTTGAAAGGCTTATAGGAACTTAATATTAATAGAAGTGTCTTTTAAGTACACATTTCCCCCCCCCCCCCCCTAAATGTGGCTTCTTAATCAGTTGCTTAAACTAGCTGCACAAGGCAACAAGCGTGAGTATACCTTAGTTGTTTCTGATCAGTTAGTTAACTAACTAACTGTTAGTTAGTTGGTTAACTAACAAAGTTTAGTGTATAATTCAGTCTTTGCTTTTTTTTCCAGAAAGAATACCAAGAACGCTTCTCTCCAAGAGTTGATGGTAAGTCCTACAGATCATTACAAAGAAATACACAATATTTAAATATTTATTTGCTGCAGTTCATTGTTTTCGTACATAATGGTTAACGTTAATTTAGTCATGATTAATTAGAATTAGAATTATGAATTAATTATAAAAAAAATATTATCAATAATTATTTGAAATGGGAGTAACAAGTCATGTTTAAGGACAAAACAGCTCTCTGGAATTAACTACAATAAGAGAGAGAAGCTTTCACAAGCAGGTCTCACAAGACGGGGGGGGGGGGGGGTATCTACTACCCAAGTAGCATCTACTACCAAGTAGCATCTACTCTCATTATCGAAGGCAAAACATCATAAATATGAGACAATAATCATGATCTAACAGCAACATCACATTCCTCTCTCTCTCTCTCTCTCTCTCTCTCTCTCTCTCTCTCTCTCTCTCTCTCTCTCTTCTCTCTCTCTCTCTCTCTCTCTCTCTCTCTCTCTCTCTCTCTCTCTCTCTCTCTCTCTCTCTCTCTCTCTCTCTCTCTCTCTCTCTCTCTCTCTCTCTCTCTCTCAGGTTACGTAGCCACACTCAGACAAGTCAATCCTGCAGTTATTGTGGTCACTAAGATATCTGGAAGACAAAAATCAGTCAAAACACATAAATTTATTACTCCACTGAGTTCTTAAAACCCTCAGTGTAACTTATTGCACTGTTACTTCTCTGTCACTCCCAGACCAAATAATCAGAGCATTGTCTCCTCAGGTGAAGGGCCGCCAGAGAACGTGACGGTGATCGGGGCGTCGACAACGTCCCTCCTGGTGTCCTGGGACCCGCCACCACTCACTCCTGAACATTATGTGGTCGACATTTTCGGTGGTATTAGTGAGGTTGTATACGACACCTCTTATGTTGTTGAGGGCCTGCAAGTGTGCACCTCATATATCGTCACTGTGACATCTTATTACAGGGATACTCAATATCCTGGCCCCTTAACTCAAGGAATAACACAGTCATCAGGCAAGTGTTATTGGGGATCTTTCACTGAGATTACATCTTCTGATGTATTTTACTTTATTCATGGTTTTAAATGTATTAAATATCATAAAATTGTATTTCAAATTACTTTGGTCGTGGAAGAACATTTTTTTATGACGTTTTACTTTACATTTGAATGAGCCATCATAATTTCCTTACACTATTCTTAAACTCATTTCTCCTTAGAAGGGTTACCCCTCTCCCCCCAATTGTCAGGAAGAGGAAGCTTGTTAGGGTTTTCAAGGGTTAGGGTTTGGGCCCCGTTAAGTCCAACGACTGACTCTCCTCATGACGCAACCCACAACAGTTGGCTAACTCCTGGGTACCTGTTTACTGCTGCGTTAACAGAGGCACCGTGTGATGATTTCCCAGGATGCAAACCACAACAGTTGCCTAACTTCTGTTCGGGAATCAAACTCGGGTCCTCTCGGTTGTGAGGCGACTCCGCTAACTACTTCCACACAAGCCAGCACATCAGTTTTATTAGTTCAATAAAAATGCCAGATTCCAAGTAGATATATTTACAGTAAATGCCTCACCTTCACATCCCTGACTTCACCCTCTCAACCTCATCTACAGAATAAGTCAACTCTCATCTTAGTGTTTGTAATCATTTAAAATCCAGAAAGAGGAATCCTCAGCCAAGTAATTACCCATCCCGCCTCCACCAACAAAATATATGAATTTCCTTCCGTTTGGCTGTTTGTAAGTCCTATGTGCTTATGGGTTTTAACCTTTGCTGTATGTAAACACTGTATAAGTCAAACTCTTGTCTGCTTATGCATTTTAACATTTAATATGTTCTCGTTGTCACTGTCACACAGACATGTTGAATACTTACCTAGAAGTTACCATGAGGTGATTTCGGGGTTCAGCGACCCCGCGGCCCGGTCGTCGACCAGGCCTCCTTGTTGCTGGATTGGTCAACCAGACTGTTGGACGCCGCTGCTCGTAGCCTGACGTATGAGTCACAGCCTGGTTAATCAGGCATCCTTTGGAGGTGTTTGTCAAGTTCTCTCTTGAACACTGTGAGGGGTCGGCCAGTTATGCCCCTGATGTGTAGTGGAAGCGTGTTGAACAGTCTCGGGCCTCTGATGTTGATAGAGTTCTCTCTCAAAGTACCTGTTGCACCTCTGCTCTTCAACGGGGGTATTCTGCACATCATGCTATGCCTTCTGGTCTCTTTTTCTGTTATTCCTGTGCACAGAAATGCGTATGCGCATGCGTTTGAAATGTTATTTCAAACCTGCACACATTTCTGTGTGCAGATTTGGGACCAGCCCCTCTGCTATTTTCCATGTGTAAATTATTATATATCTCTCACGCCTGCACTCAAGATAATACAGATTTAGGCTCCTTAGTCGGTCCCAATAGTTTAGATGTTTTACCGAGTGGATTCTAGCAGTAAAGGATCTCTGCACGCTCTACAGGTCAGCAATTTCTCCAGCTTTGAAAGGAGCTGTCATTGTGCTAGAGTACTCCACTCTAGAGAGCACTAGTGTTTAGAAGAGTATCATCATCGGTACAGCATCTCTAGTGTGAAAAGTTCTTGTTATCCAACCTGTCCTTTTTCTTGCAGTTGTGAAGGCTACTTTATTGTGCTCTTTAAATGTAAGGTCTTCCGACATATGACTTACTTTTATATTGATATAAAATTATATTTCTCTACAGTGCCGCCACAACCACAAGATTGCAAAATATCTAAACCAGTAAAAGGTACAGTACAAGTCCAGTGGAAAGACCCGAACTTTGAGTGTAGCGTTACTAACCACAGTATCGTGTGGACGTGGGACGTGCTGTGGAGTGACGAGGAAGGGTCAGTGGAAACCTTCACCACGTTTAACCAATACACACTGAGTGACGTCACACCCTACTCCAACGTCACCGCTGAGATCAGCGCCGGCAATGACGGAGGCTTCAGTACATCACTAAACTGCTCGCTGGTTACGTCTCAAGATAGTATGTTTTAGTTTTAAGTTTGTTTTCTTGTTTATATAGATCATCATATCACTAATCAGCTTTCTCACCCTGAAGTGGTATCATCCCGTCACTGTTAAGTCTCTTAACACACTTATCAGGACTCTCTCTGACAAGTGTGGGATCGTCAGCATCCATCACTTAACTTACCAACATTCTCTCCCCAAGTGTAATCCACCTCACCCCAGTTGCACAATAAATATTCGTAGATGGCCATACCAGAGCTTAGCAGATTCTTGCTGTGCCACCTCTTGGGTGGCTTAATCTTCATCAATTAATCATACCAGAGGATTCTTTGGTTGAGCAATTCAATATGAAGACAACACTAGTGTGTTGAATAACACTTGGAATATATTCTCAAGTATTATTCTACGGAGAAAACCAAAGAATCCTATTCATCCGCTTTTGCAATGTCATGTTGTATAACATGACATCCTTCGTCCCTCCTTTTATGTTAAGGCAACATTTTTTTCACTTGAAAATTTATTCCGTAAATCAGTAACCCAATTTCCACGCCAAATGTTTAATCTAAGCTTATTCATTGTGTATCCATTGTTTAATATATTTTGTGTTCACTAAAGACATATTAGCTTAGCGTTCCGTCCTTTTAATCTCTACTCATTGCTCTCACAGAGCCCGGGGCTCCTGTTATCGTGAACACAGCTTCGTATGAAGCTGGCTCAGCAACCCTCACCTGGACACCGCCTGTTGATGCCAATGGAATAATCCTGAATTATAACATTACCTCCAAGAGTGAGGAACGTTCTACTGGGACTGTGGTCGATGGAACAGTACTGACGACTGTGTTTGAAGACTTGCACGAGTGTAAGATGTACAGCTTTAGTGTTGCAGCTAGAACTGTAGTAGGATATGGACCGGAGTCTGAAGAAAGCAGTGTTTTCATCTCCGGAAACGGTAAGTATGCCAGAATAATATAATGGTTCACTTGGGCACTACGATAATGGTCCAGGACGGATCGACACGTCGTCGTTTCTCCATTTTGTGGTGTGATGTTTGGTCATTATATATTCAGTCACGTTATTGTGACTCATCGTCTGCGTAGGCGTCTGAGACCGCCTACCCCAGGAGTGGGAGACAGAGGCCCGGTCAACGGTACCACGAACAATCTTTATAAGAAAGGCTTCTAGATGGCTGTCCGCGGCATAGTTGGTAGAGCTTCTTTCTCCCGCTCCTGGGGTCGGTGGTTCGAGACTTCTAATGCCCAAGTGTTTGAAATTTTATTATCCTCAGTACTGTGGTTGACAATCTATATAAATAAAAATGGAAATGTTCGTTTGTTCAAAATCACTAATCTACGAAAGTTCTTCATCGATTGCTTTGAAATTTTCACACAACGTTCCATTTGCATCCGAGCGGGTTTTTATATACATACTATATAGATGTCACGTCTGAGACTGGAAAAAAACATCCTTTTTTGAAAACTGTGTTTTTCATGTGTTTTTCGTGCGACGAAAATCTTCGAAATCTCTTTACCGATTGTTTTGAAATTTTGACATCACGTTGCATTCGAATAGTCGCGTGTTTTTATATACCTACTATATACATGCCTCACCTGTGACAGGAAAAAACATGTTTAAAAAACAAAAACAGCGCCATCTGTTCGATATAGGAGCAACACATGCTGTAATTTCCAAAAGTTCTTCACCGATTGCTTTGAAATTTTAACACAACATTCCATTCGAATATGTGCATGTTTTAATATATCTACTATATACAGGCCTCACCTGTGACTGGTAGAACATTTTTTTTTAAACAGTGCCATCTGTTGCACGTAATAGCAACACACGCTATACTAATTATGTTACGATTCCTTTTCAATGTTTCGGAGTGCACTGACAAACTGATTCTTCCTAGATTCCAATTTATTTTCATTTCGATTTATTTATTTTGTGTGACATTGTGTTGGAATTGAGCTGTGTTGTTTACCATACCGTTCATTTTGTGAGTATAGTTTATTTTTTAATTTTTCATTTTTACCATTTCTTTTTTTAACTGTTTTTATTATATTTTAGTGATGGGAACATCAGATCATTTGATGTTCCCAATTTTCTGATGGGAACATCAGATCATTTGGGAATGCATCGGACGAGGGAGTGGGTAATGGTGAGGAAGACGAAGGGACGGGAGTGGGGGATGTTGGGGAGGACGAGAGGACAAGGGAAGGGGTAATGGTGGAGAGGACGAGGGCACAGAAGAGTTGGGAATGATAAGGACGAGGGGACAGAGGAGTTGGGGATGATAAGGACGAGGGGACAGGGGAAAGGGGAATGGTGGGGAGGACAAGGGGACAGGGGAGTGGGGGATAGTGAGGAGGACAAGAATACGGGGGAGGGGGGGAATGATAGGGACTACGAGGGGACGATTAATTAATACTTTTCCTTCCTCTGGGTCATGAAAGGAGCCGGCCTCGGGTGAAAGGGGACTGTGACGATCTCTGGAAACTGTAGGTGCGGGGCTGGGATGTTCACCTCCTGGGGCTCGTGCAGCCTAGGCTCTGCTTCAGGAGGCTGGGGTCGTTCTTGCCCTTGCTGGGGTGGTTTTTCTCCGTCCCCGACCACGGCGGTCTCCGGGTTTGGAGTCCCTGTGCCTACTTTTACCAACTTCGAGGTAATCTCCGGAGCTGGAGCCCCTAGTGCAGTTTGTTGTTGCCTTCAACCTCGTTCTGACGGTTCCTGTGATGGCGACGAAACCAATTGTATTGGCGTTTGTCTTTCCATTGGAGACTTTCGGCACCTTGGAGAGAGGGGGGTGGACCTGCTGCATGGGTGACAGCTTCTCGCCCGCATCAACCTACCATGGCTTTGTGCCCTGGAGAGGCCACTCTAGACCGACAACCAGAGAGCAACTCCGTAGTCTCCTGAGACTGATGAATGCCTACTACTAACCATCTTATCTATACACGGTCTTCAACCCTCTATCTATACTACACACGACCATCCTCGTTACCAACCTCGATCAACTACTTGAACTGGTCGGTACAGCGGAGGTCTCGTTTGCTTCATGCAGGTCGGTGTTCGATCCCCGTTGATTTAAGAGGGTGGGGGACCATTCCTTCTTTCTGTCCCCATCCCATGTCTTTGTCCTCATACACCATCTAAGTGCTATATAGGCATAATAGCTTAGTGCTTTCTCCTCATAATTACCTTACCTTTCCTCATTACCAATCATCATCACTACTTACTGTCCTTATCACAATAATCATTATCGCTGTCTTTCTCCCTCTTCACCACCTTATCTACCCTCCACCACCTTCCCTACCCTTCACCATCTTCCCTTCCCTTCACCATCCTCCCTACACTTCATGTTTAGCATAAAATGCTGGATGAATCTTAGTCAAAATTGTGTCTGGAATTTGAAGAAATTAGAAGATGGTTTCAAAGAGTACATAGGTATCAACCTCGACTCTTCCTATGACTATCCCCCAACAACCACCAGTCACCCTTTAAAGTTTGGTCTGACTAGCCGTTAATCCCAAACGTCTGACCTCCTAACGCGGACAAACATTTTCGTCTATATTAACAGATTTTTAGTTCTCTGTAAGCGCTGTACCAGCCAGATTCTTCCGTACTTATAGATATAAACCCGTAATATATTCGTACTGTCACAGCCACCGATGACATTTGGATATTTAATTTTTATATTGATCTTGATTCATTATATTTCTCCACAGTGCCGCCACCACCACCACAAGATTGCGAAATATCTGAACAAGTAAAAGGAACAGTGCAAGTCCAGTGGAAAGACCCGGACTTTGAGTGTAGCGTTACTAACCACAGTATCGTGTGGACGTGGGACGTGCTGTGGAGTGACGAGGAAGGGTCAGTGGAAACCTTCACCACGTCTAACCAATACACACTGAGTGACGTCACACCCTACTCCAACGTCACCGCTGAGATCAGCGCCGGCAATAACGTAGGCTTCAGTACATCACTAACCTGCTCGCTGGTTACGTCTCAAGATAGTACGTCTTCTTTGTTGAAGTTGTCTTATTTGTTTAGTGACATCACAGCACTGATTGATGGACTCCCTCACACACCCAGTATAACTTACTGTACCATTGTCTCCCTCACATAAGAGTAAAGGACTCTATTAAGGTCTACCGGCCCATGAGAGGCAGTTCTATTTATTCTCAACAAAACTCACATATATGTTTAACCTTCACTTGAAATAATCCAGCAATCTCACGCCTACTTTGTAACCCTGTAATTTGTTCCATATATCAACATCCAAATTTTAGTAGTATATCTTTATTCAGTTTGTTTACAGAATTTTAAAATTATTCAATTTGAAGCCATTGTTTAAGGTTCTATTTTGTGTTGATTTAAAGCCATATTGGCTTAGCGTTCCATCCTGATAATTACCTCTACACATTGTTCTCACAGAGCCCGGGGCTCCTGTTATCGTGAACACAACTTCGTATGAAGTTGGCTCAGTGACCCTCACCTGGACACCGCCTGTTGACGCCAATGGAATAATCCTCAATTATAAAATTACCTCCAAGAGTGAGGAAGGCTCTACTGAGACTGTGGTCGATGGAACAGTACTCACGACTGTGATTGAAGACTTGCATCAGTGTGAGAGCTACAATTTTAGTGTTGCAGCTAGAACTGTAGTAGGATATGGACCGGAGTCTGAAGAAAGCAGTGTTTTCATCTCCGGAAACGGTAAGTATGCCAGAATAATATAATGGTTCAATTGGGCACTACGATAATGGTCCAGGACGGACCGACACGTCGTCGTTTCTCCATTTTGTGGTTTGATGTTTGGTCATTATATCTTCAGTCACGTTATTGTGACTCATCGTCTGCGTAGGCGTCTAAGACCGCCCACCCCAGGAGTGGGAGACAGGCCCTGTCAACTGTACCACGGACAATCTTTATAAGAAAGGATTCCAGAAGGCTGTCTATGGCATAGTTGGTAGAGCTTCTGTCTCCTGCTCCTGGAGTCGGTGGTTCGAGACTCCTGGTGTCCAAGTGTTTGAAGTGTTATTATCCACAGTATTGTGGTTGGCAATTTACACACTATAGTTCACAATATTCACTTAACTATACTTCAACCCCCTAACTATCTATACTACACACGACCATCCTCGTTAACAACCTCTACCAAATACTTGAACTGGTCTTGCTCGCTTCTTGCAAGTCCGCGATCGATCCCCGTTAGTCCAAGAGGTTGGGCGCCATTCTTTTCCTCTGTCCCCATCCCATGTCTTTGTCCTCATACACCTTCCAAGTGCTATATAGTCATAATGGCTTAGTGCTTTCTCCTCATAATTACCTTACCTTTCCTCATTACCAACCATCATCACTACATACTGTCCTTATCACAGTAATCATTATCACTGTCTTTCTCCCTCTTCACCACCTTCCCTACCCTTCACCACCTTCCCTACCCTTCACAACCTTCCCTACCCTTCACCACCTTCCCTACCCTTCATCCTTTCCTATCCTTCACCACCTTCCCTACCCTTCACACCTTCCCTACCCTTCACCACCTTCCCTACCCTTCACCACCTTCTCTACCCCTCACCACCTTCCCTACCCTTCATCACCTTCCCTTCCCTTCCCACCTTCCCTACCCTTCACCACCTTCCCTACCCTTCACAACCTTGTATACCCTTCATCAGTTGTTATTTATCCCTGTCACCATCTTCAATACTCAGTCATCATTAATAAACTACGTAAGACAAACGAGCTTATAATCATATTTAGCATAAAATGTATAATTAATTTTAGTCAAAATTGTGTCTGAAATTTTGAGAATTTAGAAGATGGTTTCAAAGAGTGCATAGGTGTCAATCTCGACCCTTCCTTTGACCATCCCCTAACAACCATCAGACACCCTTCAAAGTTCGGTCTGACTAGCTTTAATCCCAAACGTCTGGCTTCATAAAGAGAACAAACATTTTTGTCTATATTAACAGATTTTTAGTTCTCTGTAAGCGCTGTACCAGCCAGATTCTTCCTTACTTATATATATATAAACCCGTAATATATTCGTACTGTCACAGCCACCGATGACATTTGGATATTTAATTTTTATATTAACCTTGAATCATTATATTTCTCCACAGTGCCGCCACCACCACCACAAGATTGCGAAATATCTGAACAAGTTAAAGGAAAAGTACAAGTCCAGTGGAAAGACCCGGACTTTGAGTGTAGCGTTACTAACCACAGTATCGTGTGGACGTGGGACGTGCTGTGGAGTGACGAGGAAGGGTCAGTGGAAACCTTCACCACGTCCAACCAATACACACTGAGTGACGTCACACCCTACTCCAACGTCACCGCTGAGATCAGCGCCAGCAATGACGTAGGCTTCAGTACATCACTAACCTGCTCGCTGGTTACGTCTCAAGATAGTACGTCTTCTTTGTTGAAGTTGTCTTATTTGCTTGATGACATTAAAGCTCTGATTGATGGTGCTTCACAGCCTATCCGGCTTGGTGCCTTCTTTTGATAATTTCTTACACACCACTGGTCAGCCTTCTCACCTTGACGTGCCGGTGTCATACAAAAAAAAAATCAACCTCCCAACCTTTGTTTACTTCTCAAATCTCGTCAAAATACCGATGCGAAGTCATATTGAATATTTTAATTTAACTAAATTGACTTTGTCGAAATTTAATTTCAATGTTTCCTCAGTTATTCTTCATTATGTGAAATATTTTGCTAATCATATTGTCATGTATGATATTTTCATCAATCATTGTTAAATATGATATATTTCACCAGTCATTCTGTAATATATGTTTGAACATATAATGTATTTAACCATTGTCTCCCTCACACACTCAGTATATCTTACTGTACCATGGACTCCCTCACATAAAATTATAGGACTCTGCTGAAGGTATACGGCCCATGAGAGGCAGTTCCATTTATACGCCACAAAACATTATATATATATATATATATATATATATATATATATATATATATATATATATATCAGAGCAAAGTATGATATATGATATATATATATATATACTTGGATCATATATATATATATATATATATGTCTAACCTTCACTGGAAATAATCCAGCCATCTCACGCTTACTTTGTAAACCTGTCATTTATTCCTTTTATCAGCATCTTAATTTCAGTAGTATTTCTTTATTCAGGTTGTTTACAGAATTTGAAACTTATTCAATTTGTATAATTATTCAATTTGCTTAGTCTTCTATTTTGTTTTGGTTTAAAGCCATATTGGCTTCTTGAGGTTATCTTGAGATAATCTTATCGTTCCATCCTGATAATTACCTCTACACATTATTCTCACAGAGCCCGGGGCTCCTGTTATCGTGAACACAGCTTCACATGAAGCTGGCTCAGCGACCCTCACATGGACACCGCCTGTTGACGCCAATGGAATAATCCTAAATTATAAAATTACCTCCAAGAATGAGGAAGGTTCTACTGGGACTGTGGTCGATGGAACAGTACTCACGACTGTGATTGAAGACTTGCATCAGTGTGAGAGCTACAATTTTAGTGTTGCAGCTAGAACTGTAGTAGGATATGGACCGGACTCTGAAGAAATCAGTGTTTTCATCTCCGGAAACGGTAAGTATGCCAGAATAATATAATGGTTCACTTGGGCACTACGACAATGGTCCAGGACGGACCGACACGTCGTCGTTTCTCCATTTTGAGGTGTGATGTTTGGTCATTATATCTTCAGTCACGTTATTGTGACTCATCGTCTGCGTAGGCGTCTGAGACCGCCTACCCCAGGAGTGGGAGACAGGCTCGGTCAATTGTACCATGGGCAACATATATAAGGAAGGATTCCAGAAGGCGGTCCATGGCATAGTTGGTAGAGCTTCTCTCTCCCGCTCCTGGGGTCGGCGGTTCGAGACTCCTAGTGTCCAATTGTTTGAAATTTCATTATCCAAAGTACTGTGGTTGGCAAAATATATATTATATATATATATATATATATATATATATATATATATATATATATATATATATATATATATATATATATATATATATATACATAAATAACTGTAACCATCTTAACTATACACAGTCTTCAACCCTTTAACTATCAATACTACACACGACCATTCTCGTTACCAACCTCGCTCAACTATTTCGACTGGTCGGGACAACGGAGGTCTTACTCGCTTCTAGCAGGTCGGCGTTCGATCCCCGTTGGTCCAAGAGGTTGGGCACCATTCCTTTCCTCTGTCCCATTCCATGTCTTTGGCCTTATACTCCTTCAAAGTGATATATAGTCATAATGGCTTAGTGCTTTCATCTCATAATTACCTTACCTTTCTTCATTACCAACCATCATCACTACATACTGTCTTTACCACAGTAATCATTATCACTGTCTTGCTCTTTCTTCACTACCTTCTTTACCTTTCACCATCTTACCGACCCTTCACCACCTTACCGACCCTTCACCATATTCCCTACCTTTCACCTTCCTTACTCTTTGCCCTACTTTTCACCACCTTCTATACCTTCATAACTTTCTGTTCATCCCTGTCACCATCTTCAATACATTTAATCATGCTTAGCCTAAAATTCTGGATTAATCTTGGTCAGAATTGCGTGTGGAATTTTGTAAAATTAGAAGTTGGTTTCAAAGAGTACATAGGGGTCCACCTCGACCCTTCCCATGACCATCCCCCAACAACCACCAGTCACCCTTCAAAGTTTGGTCTGACGTCTGGCTTCATAAAGAAAACAAACATTTTCGTCTATATTGGCAGATTCAGTTTTTTAATTTTCTGTGAGCGCTGTATTAGCCAAATTCTTGCCTGCTTTTAAATGTAAACCAGTAATATATTCGCACTGTCACTGCCACAGTAAACATTTGGATATTATATTTGTATATTGATTTAGAATCATTATATTTCTCCACAGTGCTGCCACCACCACCACAAGATTGCGAAATATCTGAACAAGAAAAAGGAACAGTGCAAGTCCAGTGGAAAGACCCGGACTTTGCGTGTGGCATCACCAACCACAGCGTCGTGTGGACATGGGACGTGCTGTGGACTGACGAGGAAGGGTCAGTGGAAGTCTTCACCACGTCTAACCATGATACACTCTATGATGTCCAATTCTACACCAACGTCACCGCTGAGATAAGAGCCGCCACTTACGGAGGCTTGAGTACACCATTATTTTGCTGGGTGGTTACGTCTCCAGATAGTAGGTTTAATTGGTCTTTACTTGATTGATTATGTCATCATGCCACTGATCAGCTTTCTCACCCTAACATGCAGGTCTCGTCAACACCATTGTCAACCTTGTAACCCTTGCTTGTAGTAGGCATCCGTCAATCCCGTGGGGTTATGGAGTTGTACCCCTGGATGTCTAGTTGTTGTAGTCTAGTTGGATGCAACGCCTGCTGTGGCTGTGAAGGCCAACCCCGAGAATGACAGTTCCGACTGCAGCAAGCGCAAATAAACGCTGAAGCGGGTGCGTCTGACAGTGGTCGAAACCTCCTGTGAACTCAATTATCCTCCGCCTGCTTCTTCAGTTCATCCTCGAATTGCTGGAGTCCCTTCTGTACCTTGCATCTCCAGGCAGATCTGTCCGCACCTGCTGCCTCCCAAGTGTTGATGTCGATGTTCATCTGCTTGAGGTCACGTTTACAGGCGTCTTTGAAACGCAGCTGAGGTCTTCTGGTGGGTCTCCTTCCTGATGACAGTTCTCCATACAGGAGGTCCTTCGGTATGCGGGCCATCTTCCATGTGTGTGACATGTCCCAGCCATCGCATGCGTCTCTGCTTCAGGAGAGTGAACATTGAAAGGAATCCTGTTCTCTTGAATACTGTGTTGTTGGTGACGTGGTCTTTTCACGTGATGTCAAGGATGCGTCTCAGGTTTTGCATGTGAAAAGTATTAAGCCGTCTCTCCTGAGGAGAGCGCAGGGTCCAGGATTCCGAGCCGTAGAGAAGTGTACTCACCACACATGCCATGTAGACTTGTGCCTTGGTGTGTACTGTCAGTTTGGCATTTTCCCAAACGCGCTTTGTGAGCCTGGCTAGTGTTGTTGCGGCCTTCCCGATACGCCTGTTGAGCTCAGTGGGAAAGGGTGTCTGAGATTGTGGAGCCCAGGTACACAAACTCGTGAACTGCCTCCAGCACATAGTCTGCGACGTTTATACAGGGTAGCTCACTGACGTCTTGTCCCATTACCTGTGTCTTCTTCAGGCTGATTGTCACGCCGAATGTGGAACAGGCAGCGGCAAAGCGGTTGAGTAGCTGCTGCAGGCCTTCTGTTGCGTGTGTGGTGATCGCTGCGTCGTCGGCGAAGAGGAACTTTCGTCTTTGCTTGGAGTCTGGATAGGTTATAAAGCTTTCCATCAGATCTTGTACGGAGGTAGATGCCCTCTGTGGTTGTTCCAAAGGCATGCTTGACGAGGATCGCGAAGAAGATGCCGACCAGGGTTGGAGCAAGAACGCACTCCTGTTTAACACCACTGTTAATGTTGAATGGTTCAGAAGTTGAGCCGTCGTACATGACTGTTCCTTTCATGTCCTTGTGGAACGATTGTATCATGCTGAGTAGGGTGGGTGGACACCCAATTTTGACCAAGATCTTGAAAAGTCCGTCCCTGCTCACGAGGTCGTAGGCCTTTGTAAGGTGAATGAAGACGATATTCAAGGCTTTTCTCTGCTCCCTGCACTTTTCTTGAAGCTGTCTCAGGGAGAACTCCATGTCAGTGGTGTTCTCCACTGAGGTGGTGTTGACATGTCAGTGGTCGACCTCTCTGCTCGGAAACCACACTGTGACTCAAGGTACACTCTTTCAGCAAGAATTTGAAGCCTGACCAAGACGACCCTGGCGAAGAGTTTGCCGACGACGCTGAGGAGGGAGATGCCGCGATAGTTGTTGACATCGCTTCTGTCACCTTTATTTTTGTAGAGAGTGATGATGTTTGCATCTCTTATGTCTTGTTGCACCGAGCCCTCCCTCCAGCACTGGCACAGAAGTTCATGAAGCTCAGTTTTAAGTGTTCCACGAGCGCACTTGAGAACTTCAGGTGGAATCCCGTCGTCTCCTGGAGCCTTCCTTGAGGAAAGTGAATCCAGTGCCTTTTCAACTTCTTCCACAGTCACTTCAAGGTCAAGTTCTTACATGATGGGCAGGCACTCGATTGCATCCAAGGCTTCTACACTGACCAAGTTCTCTCGGGAGTAGAGTTCGGAGTAATGTTCCACCCAGAAATTCATCTGTTGATCACGGTCTTTAATGATCTCTCCAGTGGCTGACTTCAGAGGAGCCGTCCTGTTTTGTGTAGGGCCTGTTGCCTGTTTGATCCCTTCGTACATGCCTCTTATGTTGTCGACGGTGGCCGCAGTCTGGATGCCGGAACAGAGTCGGAACCAGTAATCGTTAGCACAGCGCCTCGCAGTTTGTGAAATCGTGAAATCATCCAATGAAATCGGATGATTTCTCCCACCGACGAAAGCAACCCCTGGCGCCTCACTCTCCGCCAATTGACCAACACAATGGCCCGTGTTGAGCCATCGCCAAAGCGATGATGGAGTGTCCTCTCCAGGGCACAGGCCTGGGCAGTAATCATGGAGAACTGACTGTTGCCCATACAGCAGATCCACTCTCTCCACGCCACTGATGTGATCCAAGGGAAGGACAGGCGCCGATACGCTTGGCACCAGTGTCGTTGCTGGAGTTGCTAGAATGTAGCTGTAAACAGCTGAAAACTGCTTTAGGGACTCCGACTCCGGATTTTTCCTCGGGATTGGCTCCCGAAGCCTTTCCCATGAGTGGGTTTAGCCGCAAGACAACAGAGGTTTGGATTCGGGTTTTTTCTTCCCTTAGACGAGCTGCCTTCCAAGGCTAACGAGTCCCATCTGCCCGAAGCAACTGGTTTTAAGGCGCCAGAGGTCCGCCTTCGCCCCTTCTGTTGGTAGAAGTAGTTCCGCCAGGCCTAGAGGCTAAGCCACACGTGCAGGCCAGGAGCTGGACTGGGTTGTCAGAGGCTATTTGAGACGCACGCCATCAGGGGCACTTTACAGGCTGTGGGAGCTTATCTCTACAACCCTTCCCCCCGGCTATAACAACCCATGGAACCAACCTTTGCTTGTAGATCTCCCAAATATACTCCTCGCCCGGAGTCCTCGCCCGATCGTCAGCATCCAAACTCATCTTCCAAGTTTTTCTCCCCAAGTGTAGTTTTTGCTTGGATGAGTTATATTCATCAGACACGCAAATCAGTGATCTCAAAATAAAGGTATGGTCTGTTCTTGACCATTATCGAGTCGTCTAATGGGATTATTTGACGTCTAATTTTCAACTACGATAATATGAAATAAACTATGTTCATTATCCACGTGTAGAGTACACATTGACCCTCTTTTTTTTTTTTTTTTTTTTTTTTTTGAGATATATACAAGAGTTGTTACATTCTTGTACAGCCACTAGTACGCGTAGCTTTTCGGGCAAGTCCTTAATCCTATGGTCCCTGGAATACGATCCCCTGCCGCGAAGAATCGTTTTTTCATCCAAGTACACATTTTACTGTTGCGTTAAACAGAGGCTACAGTTAAGGATTTGCGCCCAGTAAATCCTCCCCGGCCAGGATACGAACCCATGACATACCGCTCGCGGAACGCCAGGCGAGTGTCTTACCACTACACCACGGAGACTACAAATTGTTACCTTATTGAAAGACTAAAGTCTAAAAAGACTACCTTATTGAATGTATTGTCAAGTAAGTAAGGTCCCCTCTTGGCCTGATAGAGGAACCGGTCTACTATTGCGGTATTCATGTGCCTCGTCTAAGGTTATGATTACCTGCTTATTCATCACCATCCCAGGCGAATCTTCAATGCCTCGGCAGCATTCAACGGGAAGATTTGTGTATGCGCATTGGAACATTTAATTTCCTCACAACGGTTATTTGGCAGTTACAGGCGGGACCAAAGAGCCGAAGCTCAACCCTCAGAAGCACAACTAGGCGAGTATCGGTCCTAAGACTTTGTGCTCAGGCCATAGATTGATTGATAAAGATTAAGTCACCCAAGAAGTGGCACGGGCATGAATAGCTCGTAATAGGCCGTAGGTGTATCCTGCCATTTTATAACTAACCGACCTCACATATTCGCTTGTATAGTTCAACACATACCAGTATGTTAGACTTCCTTAATATTACCTTGCAGACTTTCACTCCTAAAATTACACTTTACCTTCAACGTTGTAATACAGTCACGTAGTCCTCAACGGAGTCCACCGTAGAGTTCCTAGCCGCTGTTGACAAGCCATGACGTATAACACGACATCCTTCTTCAATCCTTTTGCTTTAAAGCCACTTTTACTGAAACATATTAATAGACATAACAATTTTATTGTCATTTTTAATGGTGACTACATGCTTGAATAGTGTAGCATTTTCATTAATTTTCACAAACACATCATATGTTTTACCTATCGTCGGAAATTATATTTTTTTATCTACTAAACCTTCATGTAATTTTGTAAGTTATTAAAAATTTGGTATAATGTTACAAACCTCTAAACTGGCCCTCAATAATATTTAGGTCGTTATTACGTATCTTTAGCCATGCCTTCAATACATCTTTGTTCACACTGATTATTAGTTCAGAACTAAAATATTCGTAAGTACTTTTCAACAAAGCGCTTGGACTCCTTTGATAATTAGTTTCAGCTGCATTAGTTTTTAACCATATTTTTACGAGTCTTCGGGAATAGTCAGTTTTGTTACAAACGGGAGCTAAAGGAAACTCCCACTAAATGACAATAATGTATTATTTTGTTATTAAATACTTTATAATTTCAAACAGTAACGAAAATTATCTTTATTCTTCAGAAATGTTTGATGTCGAATCTAAAGCAGATGAATAGGCTGTCAACACCTTGGCTGTCATAAGAGACCTGTTCATCATGCTTGAAGTTAACAAGCCTTAGCATGACAAGCGTGAGACAAGAGTCCACAGAGGCTCTGTATAAGGCAGACATCAGGACATGAACTGATCTGCAAATATTTACTATGGATACGACGACATAAAAGTCAATAGAGTGCCATAGGAGAGACAGATGTGTAAACTGGAACAGCCTAAAGGTCCATAGCAAGACGAAAGATAAACAAGTGACCACGGAACGCCCTGGGTGATACAGATAACTCATACATCAAAATTTTGCCACGATAAGACCATTACTGAAAGAAAACTGACTGACCACACTATTTTGACTGGACGTGTGGCCAGTCAGTACAGTAATAGAGCAAAGGAAAAAAATTGTTATATTTATTCGAAGATATAACTTGGAAATATCATTAAATAACATAAATTTTAGGTTGTAAAACGAAACCAATCAGGCACGTGCTGATGATGCGTTTCAAAGGCCTTCTTCCTAAGCTTATAAATATAATTTTGAATTAATTTAAGAGAGCTTCGTTCTTCAAGTGGTATGAATATGTCTATAGGTTTCAAGAATGTTTAATAAGTAACATTCCTTGCTGTTATTCTAATATAAATGTTTACATTAACAATAAAAGGATTAGTTCCTCCAAGTATATTCAATTTGATATAGTTAATGCTTTATATTTATCGGAAGGAGACTGAGACTCCTAATTTTATATTTCAATGATAAAGTTCACACATTTCAATACCTTAAAAGAGAGAGACTTTGTTTTTTAATATTTTAATTTCAAATTCTATGAAATGAAAATGTTATTTTAAGACAAATGATCACTTTTGGTTGTGTTTTGCAGTTAAGGTAATAGTTATATGAATGTAAGAGGGAAAATATTGTATTTTATTTATCAGAGTAAAACTTAAGGCAATATTGAATCAGCTTAATTATAATATATTTTTTTTATATAAGTAAATCTCGGCTTTAAATTCCAGGGGTCTTGGCCTTCAGATTGAGGAAAATATATTTATAGTATATTCATTGAACTTTTGTAATGAGTTATGTGAAAATAAACCAGGTTGTGCATACTGACTAAAAACGTTTTTTTTTTTTTTTTCATTTATTTTGCGTTGATATATATTACAGCTCTTCATAATTTAATAAATAATACAAGTCCAGTTGGACTTCTTGATCAGAGGTCACAACAGCGGATGAGATGATCAGTCCAGAGCATCAGAGGGTTGGCTTCATCCATCAGTAAACGTTAAAGAGTAAGTTTGAGGCTTCATCTGGTTTTAGATTCAACTCCAAGTGGGGAGCGTGTAACAAACTTGTGTTTGGACTGGTGTTGGACTTAAGGCCTGTCAACCTCTGTTAGGTGTTTTCAGACTCCCAACAATAGCTTACTGAACATCCAGCAAGTACACTTTAGTCATGATTATAGATAAAGGTAAAGGTAAACTTTCAGTGCACATAACGAGTACCGGAATACTTCTCCCGAACAGGAATCTAATGTGTTTATGATTTAAGTCTGTGGCTCCTGAGGAAAACTTGAACAGGAGTGGAGAAACTTTCAACAGCACTGACTGTGGGAGAGGTTGACTGTGGGAGAGGTTGACTGTGGGAGAGGTTGACTGTGGGAGAGGTTGACTGTGGGAAAGGAACTAATCGGAGAAAGCTGCAAGCCATTACGACTAATGAATGGGAAATGTTGACTTACGTTACTTAGGGCACCGAGTCGATGCCCAGTTCATGGACTGCTAAACACAACATAAAACCAAAAAGTTGCATTTAAGTCAATGTGCTATTAGTAAACAGGATTAACGTTAAATCCCAAAATTAAAGAAAATGTTAATTTAATAAACCAAACACAAATTTAACACCTGCAATACATCTGCCTTGTACCCGTAAAAATAGTGAAACAAAAAGTAAAAACAAAAATAAAGAGAAAATATAAATAAATGACTTATAAAAAAACAAAGTTATTTTACCAGACGAACGACTCTTACCAACTGCTGGAATAGTTCTTAAGACCTATGGATCTTAGGTCGTCACCAGACGAGCGCCCAACACCGACTGACCACGCCGGCTCCTCATCCCACGAGGGGGGCCTCACCCCCTCCCACAGGGGTAGTTGGGGTGAATCATGTTAACCGTTAACAACTCTGCGGGTAATTACCGGGTGATCCATTCCTGATGTATGGAGAGAAAGTCACACGAATAGTCTCGACTCCACGACTGTGAAGAATTTTCATATTACAGACTTTGTACATATAAAGGAAATATTATCCGCTGAATGAACGTAGAGTTACATGGGGAAGCAAGAAAACCCCGTGTTAGAGGGTTATGATGTGACAACTGTGAGAGATACTGTCAGTGGGAGATGTTGACTGTGGGAGGCATTGACTGTGGGAGGCACTGACTGTGGGAGGTATTGACTGTTGTGGGGGAGGTATTGACTGTGGGAGGCATTGACTGGTGGAGGTACTGACTGTGGGAGGTATTGACTGTGGGAGGTACTGACTGTGGGATGTACTGACTGTGGGAGGTACTGACTGTGGGAGGTACTGACTGTGGGAGGTACTGACTGGTATTGGAGGTACTGACTGTGGGAGGAACTGACTGTGGGAGGTACTGACTGTGGGAGGTATTGACTGTGGGAGGTACTGACTGTGGGAGGTACTGTCTGTGGGAGGTACTGACTGTGGGAGGTATTGACTGTGGGAGGTACTGACTGTGGGAGGTACTGACTGTGGGAGGCATTGACTGTGGGAGGTACTGACTGTGGGAGGTACTGACTGTGGGAGGTATTGACTGTGGGAGGTACTGACTGTGGGAGGTACTGACTGTGGGGTACTGACTGTGGGAGGTTTGACAGTGGTGGGAGGTACTGACTGTGGGAGGTATTGACAGTGGGAGGTATGTGACTGTGAGAGGTACTGACTGTGGGAGGCATTGACTGGTGGAGGTACTGACTGTGGGAGGCATTGACTGGTGGAGGTACTGACTGTGGGAGGTACTGACTGTGGGAGGCATTGACTGGTGGAGGTACTGACTGTGGGAGGTACTGACAGTGGGAGATGTTGACTGTGAGAGGTACTGACTGAGGGAGGCATTGACTGTGGGAGGTACTGACTGTGAGAGGTACTGACAGTGGGAGATGTTGATTGTGAGAGGTACTAACTGAGGGAGGTATTAACTGTGGGAGGTATTGACTGTGGGAGGTACTGATTGTGGGAGGTACTGACTGTGGGAGGTACCGACAATGAGATATGTTGACTGTGGGATAGAGTGACTCTGAGAGATACTGAGAGTACCTGTGAGAGGTACTGACTGTAGGAGGTATTAACTGTGGGAGATAGTGACTGAGAGATACTCACTGTTGGAGATAGTGACTGAGGGAGGTATTAACTGTGGGAGATAGTGACTGAGAGAGATACTGAGAGAGGTACTAACTGTGGGAAGTTTTATAAAGTGTCATGAATCAAATTGTTTCCTTCCATATGTTACCATAGACTTCAGGCGAAGGCTTCTTACCTTCTTGATAACGATGGTGATCGTGATGGTGATGGTAGTGATGATGGAGGTGATGATGCTGATAATGACGATGATACAGTAGCTGGCTGTTGATCGTCACTGTATCGCAGTCTGAAATGATAAGCAAACACATATCATGATGAACAATAGGTTTTCTAGGAATAGTGCCGACACTCGCTTGCGAGAGGCACAGTTATCTTGGCCACTTCAGATATTGTACCGATAAATGCGATAAGACCGGCCATTACTGAGGCATCACAGATTGCAACTAGTTCTTCACCACAGCTAGCAGCACCACAGCCAGTTCTTCACCACAGTTAGGAGCACCACAGCTAGGAGCACCACAGACAGTCCTCCACCACAGCCAGCAGCACCACAGACAACAGCAACATGCTGTGCTTGTCTGTACTGCTGTTGGACGTCCTCCTGCTGACTGCTGCCACCCAGGACAGTGAGGAGCAGCAAGTAGGTCACACTGAAGAGAAGCCGTCGACAGTGAGAGGTTTGGGTGGTTGACCGAGGCGAAATGTTTACAATAGGGTTGGTGGTCTTTGGGGTGTCTGGTAGATTTAGTCAAGGGGGTAGGTTGTGGAGCTGGCGTCCCGGCTCAGTGTTGTGTCGTGGTGAGGGAACATGGCAGACTTCCTGGTTGGTTGTGTCGTGCTGGTGTTTCCCGTGGTGGGTCGTGTCCTTGGGGATGCTGATGTTATCTCTCTTAGGCCTTGAGTGATAAAGTTTTCACTTTTTGAATTATCCTAGTTTTCTAGCCATTAATTTACTATGTGCTATTATGGTGGCGGTCGCCTAGGGGTTAGTCCGGCCGTCCACGTAGTACGGTAAGGATTTATAATACCAAAGACAAAGACATACGTCTTTGTCTCAAGAGACTTGAGACTTAAGGTGACTACAGCTCACCTTGAGCTGTAGTCTTTTGGGAGGATGGTCGAAGCGATGCTGGGCTTCTCAATGTAGCTAGGATGGAAGACGGGCGAGGTCCTCGTAATACAGCCAATATGGGTGTTCCAAATCCTAGTGGGTGCAGTATCAGGTGCAATTGTCTTCTGTTTGCTTCTGCCCCCTCCAGGAGTGTGCGTGGGAGGTGCGCAGAGACGCTGCCCACGGCCACCGTCCAATAATCAGGAGCCCAGCTGTACCAAAGATATAAAATGCTCCCGCTAGCGGCACTTTGAATGTGTTGACCAGACCACACACTAAAAGGTGAAGGGACGACGACGTTTCGGCCCGTCCTGGACCATTCTGAAGTCGATTGTCTTGACTTGAGAATGGTCCTGGATGGACCAAACGTCGTCGTCCCTTCACCTTCTAGTGTGTGGTCTGGTCAACATACTTCAGCCACGTTATTGTGACTCATCGCCTGCACTTTGAATGTGGTTCCCACCACACTATTTAGAAAGCAACATCTATCATCTATATTTCAAAACAATTTTGCTTTTATCTACTTTAGTCCACATGTTATGTTCAGGGTCCAGGCAATTTTTTTTGGCCTCAATGACATCCAGCCTCGGCTGACAATGTCCGTCGAAGCTCCGTGACCGTCTGGTGGAGATGTTCTTCAAGGCCTCACCTAACTTCATTAGGTTTTGCTCACATCTTTCATTATTTACATTTGTTTGACATCAGAATTCTCTCTCACATCGTCTAGTTTCTACAGGAAAATTCTGTTCGTGTCCACTTGTGTTTCTGCGTTCTCACTAAGCACTGTCTTCCTCTGTGGCAGCGTCTCTGGATCCAGGTTTCTGCAGGTCTACCTGTGTTCGTCTCCCTCTTGACGTGTTCCCTTCCTTTGTCTGCTTCTTGCAGACGTCCTGCAATAGCCGCATCACTTCCATCTTTTGTTCGAGTTTTCACTCTGTTGATTTGTTGTTGCGTCTATAAAC